AATACTCTACCACAGCACCACCACCACAGTAATACTCTACCACAGCACCACCACATTAATACTCTACCACAGCACCACCACAGTAATACTCTACCACAGCACCGCCACCAGAGTAATACTCTACCACAGCACCACCACAGTAATACTCTACCACGGCACCACCACAGTAATACGCTACCACAGTCCCACCACCACAGTAATACTCTACCACAGTCCCACCACGACAGTAATACTCTACCACAGCACCACCACAGTAATACTCTACCACAGTTCCACCACCACAGTAATACTCTACCACAGTCCCACCACCACAGTAATACTCTACCACAGTCCCACCACCACAGTAATACTCTACCACAGCACCACCACAGTAATAATCTAACACAGTCCCACCACCACAGTAATAATCTACCACAGCACCACCACAGTAATACTCTACCACAGTCCCACCACCTCAGTATTACTCTACCACATCACCACCACAGTAATACTCTACCACAGTCCCACCACCACAGTAATACTCTACTACAGTCCCACCACAGCACCACCACCACCACAGTAATACTCTACCACAGCACCACCACAGTAATACTCTACCACATTCCCACCACAGTAATACTCTACTACAGTCCCACCACAGTAATACTCTACCACAGCACCACCACCACAGTAATACTCTTCCACAGCACCACCACCACAGTAATACTCTACAACAGTCCCACGACAGTAATACTCTACCACAACACCACCACGACAGTAATACTCTACCACAGCACCATAACAGTAATACTCTACCACAGTCCCACCACCTCAGTATTACTCTACCACAGCACCACCAAAGTAATACTCTACCACAGTCCCACCACCACAGTAATACTCTACCACAGTCCCACCACAGCACCACCACCACAGTAATACTCTACCACAGCACCACCACAGTAATACTCTACCACAGCACCACCACAGTAATACTCTACCACATTCCCACCACAGTAATACTCTCCTACAGTCCCACCACAGTAATACTCTACCACAGCACCACCACCACAGTAATACTCTTCCACAGCACCACCACCACAGAAATACTCTACCACAGTCCGACCACAGTAATACTCTACTACAGCACCACTACCACAGTAATACTCAACCACAGCACCACCACAGTAATACTCTACCACAGCACCACCACAGTAATACTCTACCACAGCACCACCACAGTAATACTCTACCACATTCCCACCAACACAGTAATACTCTACCACAGCACCACAACCACAGTATTACTCTACCACAGCACCACCACAGTGATACTCTACCACAGCACCACCACAGTAATACTCTACCACAGCACACCACAGTAATACTCTACCACAGCACCACCACAGTAATACTTTACCACAGCACCATCACCACAGTAATACTCTACCACAGCACCACCACAGTAATACTCTACCACGGCACCACCACAGTAATGCTCTACCACAGTCCCACCACCACAGTAATATTCTACCAGAGCACCACCACCACAGTAATACTCTACCACAGTCCCACCACAGTAATACTCTACTACAGAAGCACCACCACAGTAATACTCTACCACAGCACCACCACAGTAATACTCTACCACATCCCCACCACCACAGTAATACTCTACCACAGCACCACCACCACAGTAATACTCTACCACATTCCCACCACAATAATACTCTAGTACAGTCCCACCACAGTAATACTCTACCACAGCACCACCACCACCACAGTAATACTCTACCACAGCACCACCACCACAGTAATACTCTACCACAGCACCACCAAAGTAATTATCTACCACAGTCCCACCACAGTAATACTCTACTACAGTCCTACCACAGTAATACTCTACCACAGCACCACCACCACAGTAATACTCTACCACAGCAGCACCACCACCACAGTAATACTCTACCACAGTCCCACCACAGTAAAACTCTACTACAGCACCACCACCACAGCAATACTCAACCACAGCACCACCACAGTAATACTCTACCACAGCACCACAACAGTAATACTCTACCACAGCACCACCACCACAGTAATACTCTACCACAGCACCACCACAGTACTATTCTACCTCAGCACCACCACCACAGTAATACTCTACCACAGAACCACCACCACAGTAATACTCTACCACAGCACCACCACAGTAATACTCTACCACAGCACCACCACCACAGTAATACTCTACCACAGTCCCACCACAGTAATACTCTACTCCAGAAGCACCACCACAGTAATACTCTACCACAGCACCACCACAGTAATACTCTACCACATTCCCACGACCACAGAAATACTGTACCACAGCACCACCACCACAGTAATACTCTACCACAGTCCCACCACAGTAATACTCTACTACATTCCCACCACATTAATACTCTACCACAGCACCACCACTACCACAGTAATACTCTACCACAGCACCACCACAGTAATACTCTACCACAGCACCACCACCAGAGTAATACTCTACCACAGTCCCACCACAGTAATACTCTACTACAGAAGCACCACCACAGTAATACTCTACCACAGCACCACCACAGTAATATTCTACCACATTCCCACGACCACAGTAATACTCTACCACAGCACCACCACCACAGTAATACTCTACCACAGTCCCACCACAGTAATACTCTACTACATTCCCACCACAGTAATACTCTACCACAGCACCACCACTACCACAGTAATACTCTGCCACAGCACCACCACCACCACAGTAATACTCTACCACAGCACCACCACAGTAATTCTCTACCACAGTCCCACCACAGTAATACTCTACTACAGTCCCACCACAGTAATACTCTACCACAGCAACACCACCACAGTAATACTCTACCACAGCACCACCACCACAGTAATACTCTACCACAGTCCCACCACAGTAATACTCTACTACAGCACCACCACCACAGTAATACTCAACCACAGCACCACCACAGTAATACTCTACCACAGCACCACCACAGTAATACTCTACCACAGCACCACCACCACAGTAATACTCTACCACAGCACCACCACAGTAATACTCTACCACAGCACCACCACAGTAATACTCTACCACAGCACCGCCACAGTAATACTCTACTACACACCCACCACAGTAATACTCTACAACAGCACCACCACAGTAATACTCTACCACAGCACCACCACCACAGTAATACTCTACCACAGCAATACTCTGCCACAGTCCCACCACCACAGTAATACTCTACCACAGTCCCACCACGACAGTAATACTCTACCACAGCACCACCACCACAGTAATACTCTACCACAGTCCCACCACCACAATTATACTCTACCACAGCACCACCAAAACAGTAATACTCTACCACAGTCCCACCACCACAGTAATACTCTACCACAGTCTCACCACCACAGTAATACTGTAACACAGTCCCGCTACGGTAATACTCTACCACAGCACCACCACAGTAATAATCTACCTCAGCACCACCACAGTAATACTCTACCACAGCTGTGGTGAGAGCAATGGTTTAAGGTCAAAGGTTCGTGTGAGCGGTCAGCTTCCCTCTCTTTCTACCTCTCATTCTTTTCCTGCTCTTCTGTCTCTTACTCTACCCTATTCCTCTCTCTCACCTCTCTCCAATGTTTCTCTCGCAGCTCTCTCTCTGTCTCTACCTTTCCCTCACTCATCATCCCCTCTCACTTACCGCTGGTGAAGCTGACCACAGGTGAAGCTGACCACAGGTGAAGCTGACCACAGGTGAAGCTGACCACAGGTGAAGCTGACCACAGGTGAAGCTGACCACAGGTGAAGCTGACCACAGGTGAAGCTCACCACAGGTGAAGCTGACCATAGGTGAAGCTGACCACAGGTGAAGCTCACCACAGGTGAAGCTGACCACAGGTGAAGCTCACCACAGGTGAAGCTCACCACAGGTGAAGCTCACCACAGGTGAAGCTTACCATAGGTGAAGCTGACCACAGGTGAAGCTGACCACAGGTGAAGCTCACCACAGGTGAAGCTCACCACAGGTGAAGCTGACCACAGGTGAAGCTGACCACAGGTGAAGCTCACCACAGGTGAAGCTGACCACAGGTGAAGCTCACGACAGGTGAAGCCACATAGAATACTCTATGGGGGATATTTCCAGTTTACGTTCTCATGTCAACATTATCATGGTCAACATTATCATGGTCAACATTCTCATGGTCAACATTCTCATGGTCAACATTCTCATGGTCAACATTATCATGGTCAACATTCTCATGGTCAACATTCTCATGGTCAACATTATCATGGTCAACATTATCATGGTCAACATTCTCATGGTCAACATTCTCATGGTCAACATTATCATGGTCAACATTCTCATGGTCAACATTCTCATGGTCAACATTCTCATGGTCAACATTACTATGGTTAATAGTATCATGGTCAACATTCTCATGGTCAACATTACTATGGTTAACAGTATCATGGTCAACATTCTCATGGTCAACATTATCATGGTCAACATTCTCATGGTCAACATTCTCATGGTCAACATTCTCATAATCAACATTCTCATGGTCAACATTCTCATGGTCAACATTCTCATGGTCAACATTCTCATGGTCAACATTACTATGGTTAACAGTATCATGGTCAACATTCTCATGGTCAACATTCTCCATGTCAACATTCTCATGGTCAACATTCTGATGGTCAACATTATCATGGTCAACATTATCATGGTCAACATTCTGATGGACAACATTCTCATGGTCAACATTATCATGATCAACATTATCATAGTCAACATTCTATTGCTCAACATTCTCATGTTCAACATTATCATGGTCAACATTATCATGGTCAACATTATCATGGTCAACATTATCATGGTCAACATTATTATGGTCAACATTCTCATGGTCAACATTCTCATGGTCAACATTCTCATGGTCAACATTCATTACATTATCATTACCATGGTCTGTGGGAACCGACCTGTGAGATTTATATTTATTTAATTTATATGAATTTATATTTACGTTAATTTATATACTTCGATAGCAATTTGTATAATAATGAGTGGACTGTATTTCTGCGATAATCTCAATCTCACAAATCGATCCTCTACACATTAGGGGGGTTTATATTTATATGTATGCAGCCAATCAAACTACAGTAACTACATACATTAAAGAGGTTCCTTATCTTATAGTACAGCAGGTTAGTCCACCAGGTATAACTAGGGTGTAGACACCAAATTATCCTCTTTGAGGTAGCTTCCATATCACCCAGTAACTGGTGCACAAATCTTGCATCCTCGTCTTGACCTGTAAAAAGTGCGCTAGCTGTGAAGCCAGATACCTATATATGACAAGTATATCAGAGAAAACAGTACATGGAACATTAAAGACCTGGCTTAATTACCTTTAGTATGAGGCGATTTCGCGTTCTAACCGGCTAACCCTATATCCTGACATTAATGGCCATAAATGAATGATAAACGGGTTTCGGATAGACACTTAACTTGTATTTGTAGACAGCGTGTTGACAATGGTACACCTTTGGGTTCCATAACACTACGTCCAAGTAAATTTAACAGGAGCCGAATTTGCTCCCGTGTGAGCCTCTGGTCTAGTATAACAACAATGGCTGCCCTCCTTCCCCACTGACGCCTGGCCTACTTTGTCCAGATTTCAGAAAGTGATAGAAGGGTCACATTTACTCTACTTTAATATTGATAATTAAGTTAATTTATATAAGATGTTTTTATGATGGTAAAGTCCAAAGACTAATGTATTTAAGAACAATTCCCAGCAGAATAGCTGGTGAATTATAATAGTATGTGGTGATGATATCCCGTTTTCTATAGACGGTAATTCCACTACAAGTTACGTTTTCTATGGGTAACTTGTTGGTAATACAGTTATTATCTGTATGATTATTACATGGTGTCGGATTTTCCGACATAATTCCCCAGGGGGCTGCTCACGGGTCGAAGTCCTCTTTAGAACAGACGAACACCGATACTCCTCCTTCGAATTATAGTTAGTAATCACACATTTGTGCGTCTGTTCGTACAGGACGGATGTCCCGTACTAGAGTTGCAGGGGTTAGAAGTCTAATGCGATTTCATTTCCCTGTCAACTCTTGAAAGGCTAATATTCAAGCCTAATTACATATTATTTAACCCAGAAGACTGGATGCGATCAAGTACTACAGTCAAGTATGATTCAGGGACTGCAGTGAGATCAGTGACATCAGATATAACTTGAAGTTTCTTCAGGTAACTGGTCACTGATATATAAACACTGAGGCCCATGGAATACATCTTGATTAAATAATAAATGTATCAAATCAGTCATCAGATTTACTGGGGTTTAATTTAATTAATTGATTCAGAGGATTGAATAGCTCATCATTAAAGTAAAGTATGGTTCTGAGACTGCAGTGGGTTCAGTGACATTGGTCGCAGTGACTTGTAGCTGTTTTAGGCTACTGTTCACTGATTTGCCACTGAGGCCTCATGAACTCTTCTTCAGCTTTAAATGATGATACTAACATCAACCTCTGTTACTATAGTCAGCTGTAATCTCCTTAGTATAATGCTACTGGAGAAATATAATCAGCTGACAAATTTAGATTTCTATTGGTATTGTTTATCTGCAGGCATAGGTCTCCTCAGGCTTGATACTGGGCCTGAGAGTAATTTACCTCCTGCAGAGTTTAACATGGTTATACCCTGATATTTAGTAGGGCTACCAATGAATTGATGACAATAGTCTGTCCCTACAAGGAGACCGAAGTCGGTGAGGTGATCAGACTTAATATTATCTGCCAATTTTATTCCTCTATTTCTCAGGAATTTGGCTGTTGCTCTCAGACCTTGAACTTGTAGGTCTACTGGTATTTTGTCCACCACAATGGCTTGTACTCGACAGACGTACCTACCTAAACGTACTGATGGTTGTACCACCTGGTAGACTTGAGGTCCTGCATCTGTTACAAACCCTGAGATGTTGAATGACATCTGGGCTACAGGCCTTAATTGTAATTCATCTGCCAACTTTTTAGTGATATATGTTCTCTGGGATCCTTGGTCAAACAATCCACGGGTATGGACCTTGGCCCTCTTATTCAGGATGGTAATTTGGGCAGTAGGCAAAGTCGTATTACCTTTAGACTTTGCCGATTGGACACTCTTTGTTGGTTGCACCTTGCAGTACTGTACTGTGGTGGGAATGCTATCTTCCACCTTGGGGTTTGGAGACGTTGTTTTGGTGTCTCTGCACAATGCTGCATGGTGCTGACCTTTGTTACACCTATTACAAGGGTGTAATTGGGTATCACAGTCCTTGATGTTATGTTTCCTGAGGCACCTCGTGCAATGTTGCAAATCTTTGAGTCGCTCAACACGGGCGTCACTATCAGGAAAATTAGAGCAGTGGTACATTGAATGTTTCTCATTGCAGAACAAACATGTTCCATAGCTTCCAGTACCCTTTGGTGTCACGTTCTTGGGTGACACAGTAACTATAGGCTTGGAGGGTCCCACTGCATATACGCCCACACTGCTACTGTTCCACTTTGGTGTTGAATTATATTGTCTAGATTGATTTGGAGTACCTTTGGTACTCTGTGGTTTACTATTATTGGTTTCTGAGGGTTTACTTGGTGGTTTTAATTTGTCATGTGTTCGTAATTGATGAACTACTGACTTTAAACCTTCAGATATTTCATTCATGGATACGATGCTTTTATTGTAATGAGCACTCATTTGTCTCAATATGTCCCTAGGTATTTTCTCCTGGACAATTATTTTCAAGACCCACTCAGCCCCGTTTGTATCTGCTGTCAGGCTGAGGGCATTGATCAATGATTCTACCTCCAGCTTGAAGACTTGGAGTGAATCAGCTGAAGCCTCCGGTGGGGGTAAATGCAACAGCTCATGAACTAAATGTGATGTTCTTACTTCTGGATCAGCATAATTATCCTTGAGGAGTTTTACTGCCAGATCATAGCCGTCATTAGTTAATCTCAGATGGGATACTACTGTTTTAGCCTCACCTGATAATTGGCCTTGCAAATAAGAGAATTTACTACTCTTTGGTAAAGATTGTTTTGAGTCTACAAGGTCAACGAATTTGTTCCAAAATTCGTCCCAATCTTCCTCATCTTTTCCTGAGAAAGTGGGTAAATTAATTGGAGGGAGTCGAGCTTCTGCTTGACTCGTATTAGATGCAACTGTTGTTGTTGTTGCTGTTGCCTTGTTCTGGGCAATTAATTTGACATAAGGCTGTAACGTGGCCTGAGTGTGATCTTCATAATTCGCAAGATCAACCATAATGTCGTCTATTTCTGTTTCTGATAAATTAGTGTTGGCAAGTTCAGCCACATATGTTGCTATTTGACATTTGATTTGCTCAAATTTACCTGCAGCTGCTTGATAATAGCTTTCCAGGTCAGCATAATCAACTTGAGATTGTTGTGACAAATCTTCACATTTCTTGATCTGTCTCATTAAGTGGCCTTTAAGACCTGCAAGGGTTCTTTTCATTCTCCCTGCATTATCCATACTGGCTCGTTGGTGAAGCCTTGTGGGACTTGTACTTGGGCTGCTCATAATACTGAACAAACACTAATGGTAGCCTAGGGTAAATTCTGCACTCACTAGGCAATAATCCTACCTCTACTAGAGGTTAGCTCTTAAAATTAATACACATTATATATATACAATCATCCACACTAATGATTTGAGTGATAAACCAGTGTCACTGGAAGTACCTTTAGGTTAGCTCTTCTATATCACCCTAGGATGGTAGAGACACTAATTAATCACTCAAAGGTGTAATGATCATAAGTAAATTATTATATATACACAACTCAACTCGAGTTGATAAAAATTACACCCAAAATAGAGTTTGCACCTTTCATTAATGGTGTTAGGTTATTCAATATAGTACAACTGACTATGGTAATAATGGGACTAGGATGAGCAATAATAGTTCAACTAGTCAATGGTAATATCCTACCCTGTTGTGGGTTGGCAATTAGTAAATATTATATTGAGAACACTAGTGCAGTATATATTAAATAATTCTCTATCTTGGAGAAATAATATACACAATTATTGATAATAGCCTCTTAATTAGCCTCTATGAAACTTCTATTATTATCTAGAAGTATTAAATATTATTAGTGACCTCGCGAAATAAAGTCCACAAAATTCGTAGATAATCTCTCGCGAAATGTAACACCACGAAATCCGTGAACAATCTCGCGAAGACACAGTCACTAATTTGGCTGGATTCTATATTAGCGCTGTCATTTCACGAAATAACACGCCACCAAATATCTGTGGGTGTGCATGAAACCGCTGACGAAGCTGAACTGGGCTGAGGGAGGCTCCTGAGCTCCCTCGAGGCTACGCTGCCGTCTTGACTGCTGGCTTTGTTTAAATAACACTGCACTAGTATATTTAATGAATCCACTGGTTAACTGGTTCATCCGGTACTAAGATGACCAAATGTGGGTTCAAAGGATCAAATAATCCGTCATCCGGTTCGAAGATGACCAAATAATGTGGGAACCGACCTGTGAGATTTATATTTATTTAATTTATATGAATTTATATTTACGTTAATTTATATACTTCGATAGCAATTTGTATAATAATGAGTGGACTGTATTTCTATGATAATCTCAATCTCACAAATCGATCCTCTACACATTAGGGGGGTTTATATTTATATGTATGCAGCCAATCAAACTACAGTAACTACATACATTAAAGAGGTTCCTTATCTTATAGTACAGCAGGTTAGTCCACCAGGTATAACTAGGGTGTAGACACCAAATTATCCTCTTTGAGGTAGCTTCCATATCACCCAGTAACTGGTGCACAAATCTTGCATCCTCGTCTTGACCTGTCAAAAGTGCGCTAGCTGTGAAGCCAGATACCTATATATGACAAGTATATCAGAGAAAACAGTACATGGAACATTAAAGACCTGGCTTAATTACCTTTAGTATGAGGCGATTTCGCGTTCTAACCGGCTAACCCTATATCCTGACATTAATGGCCATAAATGAATGATAAACGGGTTTCGGATAGACACTTAACTTGTATTTGTAGACAGCGTGTTGACAATGGTACACCTTTGGGTTCCATAACACTACGTCCAAGTAAATTTAACAGGAGCCGAATTTGCTCCCGTGTGAGCCTCTGGTCTAGTATAACAACAATGGCTGCCCTCCTTCCCCACTGACGCCTGGCCTACTTTGTCCAGATTTCAGAAAGTGATAGAAGGGTCACATTTACTCTACTTTAATATTGATAATTAAGTTAATTTATATAAGATGTTTTTATGATGGTAAAGTCCAAAGACTAATGTATTTAAGAACAATTCCCAGCAGAATAGCTGGTGAATTATAATAGTATGTGGTGATGATATCCCGTTTTCTATAGACGGTAATTCCACTACAAGTTACGTTTTCTATGGGTAACTTGTTGGTAATACAGTTATTATCTGTATGATTATTACATGGTGTCGGATTTTCCGACATGGTCAACATTCTCATGGTCAACATTTTCATGGTCAACATTCTCATGGTCAACATTATCATGGTCAACATTCTCATGGTCAATATTCTCATGGTCAACATTCTCATGGTCAACATTATCATGGTCAACATTCTCATGGTCAACATTCTCACGGTCAACATTCTCATGGTCAACATTATCATGGTCAACATTATCATGGTCAACATTCTCATAATCAACATTCTCATGGTCAACATTCTCATGGTCAACATTATCATGGTCAACATTATCATGGTCAACATTATCATGGTCAACATTCATTACATTATCATTACCATGGTCAACATTCTCATGGTCAACATTTTCATGGTCAACATTCTCATGGTCAACATTGTCATGGTCAACATTCTCATGGTCAATATTCTCATGGTCAACATTCTCATGGTCAACATTATCATGGTCAACATTCTCATGGTCAACATTCTCACGGTCAACATTCTCATGGTCAACATTATCATAGTCAACATTATCATGGTCAACATTATCATGGTCAACATTCTCGTGGTCAACATTATCGTGGTCAACATTCTCATGGTCAATATTCTCATGGTCAACATTCTCATGGTCAACATTATCATGGTCAACATTCTCATGGTCAACATTCTCATGGTCAACATTCTCATGGTCAATATTATCATGATCAACATTACCATGGTCAACATTCTCATGGTCAACATTCTCGTGGTCAACATTATCGTGGTCAACATTCTCATGGTCAACATTCTCACAGTCAACATTCTCATGGTCAACATTCTCACGGTCAACATTATCATGGTCAACATTATCATAGTCAACATTCTCATTATCAACATTACTATGGTCAACATTTCTACGGTTAACATTATCATGGTCAACAATATCATGGTCAACATTACTATGGTCAACATTACTATGGTTAACATTATCATGGTGAACATTATCATGGTCAACATTCTCATGGTCAACATTATCTTGGTCAACATTATCATGGTCAACATTTTTATTGTCCACATTATCATGGTCAACATTATCATGGTCAACAATATCATGGTCAACATTACTATGGTCAACATTACTATGGTTAACAATATCATGGTGAACATTATCATGGTCAACATTCTCATGGTCAACATTATCTTGGTCAACATTATCATGGTCAACATTTTTATTGTCCACATTATCATGGTCAACATTCTCATAGTGGACATAATCATGGTCAATATTATCATGGTCAACATTATCATGGTCAACATTATCATGGTCAACATTATCATGGTCAACATTCTCATGGTCAACATTATCATTGTCAACATTCTCATGGTCAACATTATCAGGGTCAACATTCCCATAGTGGACATAATCATGGTCAATATTATCATGGTCAACATTATCATGGTCAAAATTCTCATGGTCAACATTATCATGGTCAAAATTGTCATGGTCAACATTATCATAGTCAACATTCTCATGGTTAACATTATCGTGGTCAACATTCTCATTGTTTACATAATCATGGTCAACATTATCATGGTTAACATTATCATGGTCAACATTCTCATGGTTAACATAATCATGGTGAACATTTTCATGGTCAACACTTATTATGGTCAACATTATCATGGTTAATATTATCATGGTCCACATTCTCATGGTCAACATTCTCATGGTCAACATTACTATGGTCAACATTACTATGGTTAACATTATCATGGTCAACATTATCATGGTCAACATTATCATGGTTAACATAATCATGGTCAACATTATCATGGTCAACATTCTCATGGTTAACATTCGCATGGTTAACATAATCATGGTCAACATTTTTATGGTCCACATTATCATGGTCAACATTCTCATGGTTAACATTCTCATGGTCAACATTACTATGGCCAACATTATCAAGGTCAATATTCTCATGGTCAACATTCTCATGGTCAACATTATCATGGTCAACATTCTCATGGTCAACATTTTCAGTCAACATTCTCATGGTCAACATTATCATTGTCAACATTATCATGGTCAACATTACTATGGTTTACATTATCATGGTCAACATTCTCATGGTCAACATTCTCAATGTCAACATTCTTATGGTCAAAATTCTCATGGTCAACATTCTCATTGTCAACATTCTGATGGTCAAAATTCTCATGGTCAACATTATCATGGTCAACATTATCATGGTCAACATTATCATTGTCAACATTATCATGGTCAACATTACTATGGTTAACATTATCATGGTCAACATTCTCATGGTCAACATTCTCAATGTCAACATTCTTATGGTCAAAATTCTCATGGTCAACATTATCATGGTCAACATTATCATGGTCAACATTATCATGGTCAACATTCTGATAGACAACATTCTCATGGTCAACATTATCATGGTCAACATTCTGATGGACAACATTCTCATGTTCAACATTATCATGATCAACATTATCATAGTCAACATTCTATTGCTCAACATTATCATGGTCAACATTATCATTGTCAACATTCTCATGTTCAACATTATCATGGTCAACATTATCATGGTTAACATTCACAAGGTAAACATTTTCGTGGTCAACATTCATTACATTATCATGGTCAACATTATTAAGGTCAACATTATCATGGTCAACATTCTCATGGTCAACATTCTCATGGTCAACATTCTCATGGTCAACATTACTATGGTCAACATTACTATGGTTAACATTATCATGGTCAACATTATCATGGTCAACATTATCATGGTTAACATAATCATGGTCAACATTATCATGGTCAACATTCTCATGGTTAACATTCGCATGGTTAACATAATCATGGTCAACATTTTTATGGTCCACATTATCATGGTCAACATTCTCATGGTTAACATTCTCATGGTCAACATTACTATGGCCAACATTATCAAGGTCAATATTCTCATGGTCAACATTCTCATGGTCAACATTATCATGGTCAACATTCTCATGGTCAACATTTTCAGTCAACATTCTCATGGTCAACATTATCATTGTCAACATTATCATGGTCAACATTACTATGGTTTACATTATCATGGTCAACATTCTCATGGTCAACATTCTCAATGTCAACATTCTTATGGTCAAAATTCTCATGGTCAACATTCTCATTGTCAACATTCTGATGGTCAAAATTCTCATGGTCAACATTATCATGGTCAACATTATCATGGTCAACATTATCATTGTCAACATTATCATGGTCAACATTACTATGGTTAACATTATCATGGTCAACATTCTCATGGTCAACATTCTCAATGTCAACATTCTTATGGTCAAAATTCTCATGGTCAACATTATCATGGTCAACATTATCATGGTCAACATTATCATGGTCAACATTCTGATAGACAACATTCTCATGGTCAACATTATCATGGTCAACATTCTGATGGACAACATTCTCATGTTCAACATTATCATGATCAACATTATCATAGTCAACATTCTATTGCTCAACATTATCATGGTCAACATTATCATTGTCAACATTCTCATGTTCAACATTATCATGGTCAACATTATCATGGTTAACATTCACAAGGTAAACATTTTCGTGGTCAACATTCATTACATTATCATGGTCAACATTATTAAGGTCAACATTATCATGGTCAACATTCTCATGGTCAACATTTTCATGGTCAACATTATCATGGTCAACATTTTCATGGTCAACATTATCATGTTCAACATTAACATCGTCAACATTATTATGGTCAACATTCTCATGGTCAACATTCTCATGATCAACATTATCATGGTCAACATTACTATCGTGAACATTATCATGGTCAACATTACTATGGTTAACATTCTCATGGTCAACATTACCATGGTCAACATTATCATAGTCAACATTACTATCGTGAACATTATCATGGTAAACATTATTATGGTCAACGTTATCACGGCCAACATTCTCATGGTCAACATTCTCATGGTCAACATTATCATGGCCAACATTCTCATGGTTAACATTCTCATGGTCAACATTCTCATGGTCAACATTATCATGGTGAACATTAGTATGGTTAATATTACTATGGTTAACATTCTCATGGTCAACCTTACTATGGTAAACATTCTCATGGTCAACATTATCAAGGTCAACATTACTATGGATAACATTCTCATGGTCAGCATTCTCATAGTCAACATTCTCATGATCAACATTTTCATGGTCAACATTCTCATGGTCACCATTATCATGGTCAACATTACTGTAGTTAACATTCTCATTGTTAACATAATCATGGTCAACATTATCATGGTCAACATTCTCATGGTTAGCATTCGCTTGGTTAACATAATCATGGTCAACATTATCATGGTCAACATTATCATGGTCAACATTATCATGGTCAACATTATCATCAGTAACATTCTCATGATCAACATTATCATGGTCAACATTCTCATGGTCAATATTATCGTGGTCAACATTATCATTGTTTACATAATCATGGTCAACATTCTCATGATAAACATTATCATGGTCAACATTCTCATGGTTAAGATTATCATGGTCCACATTATCATGGTTAACATTATCATGGTCAACATTCTCGTGGTTACCATAATCATGGTGAACATTATCATGGTCAACACTTTTTATGGTCAACATTATCAAGGTCAATATTATCATGGTCATCATTACTATGGTTAACATTATCGTGGTCAATATTATCATGGTCAACATTACTATGGTCAACATTAAAATGGATAACATTATCATGGTCAACATTATCATGATCATCATTACTATGGTCAACATTACTATGGTTAACATTATCATGGTCAACATTATCATCGTTAGCATAATCATGGTCAACATTATCATGGACAACATTCTCATGGTTAACTTTTGCATTGTTAACATAATCATGGTCAACATTTTTATGGTCAACATTTCTATTGTCCATATTAACATGGTCATTATTCTCATTGTTTTGGACCCGAGTCCAGCGTCGTAGCACGGAACAGTGACGACAACGCCATCTGTGAGTCCGCTCCCGAAACCCTCTCCAAATGGACGACGCAATCTAGTGAGGACGGGATATACCGGCCACAGGTGCTGGATTCCCGTCTTAATCAGCTCATAGCATAGCCGCTGCTGACCCCTGGTGAGGTGGCGCCTAGACAGCAACGCCATCTATGGAGTGGATAGGTGGACGTTTGTGTCTAAGCCTGTGAGGTGCCCTAGAGTGTCCCTAGCACTAATGACGTGTCTGATTACAGAGTCGACCTGGGACTGCTGTATTGGACGATGGATCAGTCTACCCAAGGCAGCCAAGGTCTCTCCATGAGTTTGCTGAAGAAGCTGTGAGTCCCCCGGGACGAACACTGCTGAGAGTGTTAGCCTGCCTGTGACGTGGCAGTATCAGGGATCGCCTTATCCGGGGCTGGCTGGTGGAAGAGACTAGCCACTGTGGTGCTGAGAGAGGAGAGTGATCAGCGGAATCACACGAGGCTCCTGCCTAGTATCCTGCTCGCAACCCTAGTATCGGTCGTGGAGTGGCCTACACAGCGGAGCTGATCGGAACCTGCCAGCTACAGGCTAGATTTGTGGTTGAAGGCCTCCACGATGGAGCACCCAGTGGGACTGTGATTTGGCTGGCCTGTGGCCAAGGTAGATTTGCCGAGAGAATCAAAGAGGATTCATCGTGGGCCACTGAAGAAGAGAACCAGGGCTACTCATCGTGAGCACCGTGGAACATCTTGAGTCTTCGAAGGAAGACAAGTCATTGTACATTTGTGTATTTATACCCCCCGTGTGACTGTTTATATATTTATTTATGGTGGTGGTGATTTTATATATAAAGCAGTGCATTTGTATCCCTTCTCCTTTAATTTAACTTGGGTTATGGAACACACCCCTTGAAAGCCACTACTAACTTGGGGTCAGATACCCCATACTCTAATAACATCAGAGAAGAACCTGGTTGCGACCCAATAGGGCTGTAACATAATTGGCATCCCCAGCAGGATCCGACCCCTTGTCAAGTATGTTTGACAGGGGTGGTGATGTAGTGCAATCCCTTGTAAATAATTCCCCCTGTGTGTAATTATTAGGACGTTATACGTCCTGTGCGGTGCTCGGTGTGATTCAGTGCAATATTGTAGAGTGAGGTGCTCGCTGTGGTTAAGTGCAATATTGCGTAGTGCGGTGCCCGGTGTGATTACGTGCAATATTGTAGTGTGTGGTGCCCGGTGTGATTACGTGTAACAGTGGCAAGTGAGGTGCTAGGTGCGATTAAGTGCTAAAGTGAAGCGGTGTGTTAAGTGCTAGTGCTCCATCTAAGTGACAATGGCAGAAAAAGCGACCATCGATGATCTGGACGATGTTCAGGCCTTTCTGAACAAGGAGGACTGTCTTGCTAGATTAAAATATCTGGGAAAACCAGAACTTGTATTAGTGAGTGCCTATCTGGAGATAAAGATACGTGCCAGTGATTCCCGGGTGGAGATCTTGTTCAAGGTTCACAAGCATTTGAAGGCTGAGGAGAAACAGGAAAGCGAGGCACAAAATACAAAAGAAAGTGAGGAAGTAGCTTCCGCTGAAAAGGAAGATAAGGGCAGTGACATTGACAGTGATGCAGGTGAGCTGAATATAAGCTTTCTAACTGTCAAAATGCGTGCCTTGGAAATAAATCGCGAGATAGAATGGAAGAAATTAGAAATGGAAAGAGAGAGACAAGATAAAGAAATGGAGATGAGGCGTTTAGAATTAGAACGAGAAATAGAAAGAGAAGAACGAGATAGAGAAAGAGAAGAACGAGAAAGAGAACGAGAAGAGCGAGAAAAAGAACGAGAAAGAGAAAGAGAGGAGTGAGAAAAAGAAAGAGAGAGAGAGAAGAGCGAGAAAAAGAACGAGAAAGAGAGAGAGAAGAGCGAGAAAAAGAACGAGAAAGAGAGAGAGAAGAGTGAGACAGGCAAGAACGATGAGACAGAGGAAAAAGAGAGACAACATGAGTTAGAAGTATTGCGATTAGGTGGTCGGAGGCAAACAATGGACACAAGTATTTTCGATCCGGTAAGGAACATCAAAATGGTCCCGAAGTTCAACGAGAAGGAAGTTTCGAAGTTCTTCGCGGCCTTCGAGAAAGTCACAGCCTCTTTGAAGTGGCCATAGGAGAATTGGGCCATCATGATACAGTCCGTCTTGACTGGGAAGGCCCAAATCGCCTACTCCACGTTGTCCCTTGATGACTCTGGCGATTACAACAAGGTGAAGAAGGTAGTGCTCATGGCTTACCAATTGGTACCTGAGGCTTACAGGCAGAAGTTTAGAAACCTGAAAAAGACCTCGGAGCACACGTTCACCGAATTCGCAACACTCAAGGAACGGCTTTTTCAAGAGTGGTGTGCTTCTCGGAAGGTGGAGACCAAAGAAGACCTCGAGCAGCTCATACTGTTAGAGGACTTCAAAGATTGTCTGTCTGGAGATCTGAAGACGTACCTAGAAGAGCAGCAGGTGGAGACCTTAAGTGCGGCAGCCACCATGGCTGAAGAGTACATCTTAACGCATAGGCCTTCCACTAAGTATGTCCCGAGGAATTACCCACGTCTGTTTGGCAAGCCTCGTCAGGAAGAGGAGAGACCCGTCCCACAAAGCGCTGTGAAGACGCCCCCAAGTAGCCCTCGAAGGACTAGTCCTAACAGTCCGAAACACCATAGTCCGAGGAGGAATATGGTGTGTTGGACTTGTGGGCAGAAAGGGCATGTAGCTGCTATGTGCCGTGGCAGAAGAGGTATCGGCCCACGTAGGGAGGTGATGTTGATGAGCTGTGTGACACCACCAGTAGGAAGCCAGTCTATGACTAGTCAGGAAGAACCAAGATTGTTTCCCCCTCACACTTCAGGCGTGTATGTATCGAGTGATCATACTGGTAGATCAGTTGTAGTGCTCAGAGATAGTGGAGCAGCCCAGTCCCTGATCGTGAGAAGCTCGTTACCCGAGGGAGTGAGTGTGGACGGGAGACAAAAGGTTGTCCTGGTTGGGTTTCCTAGGACGTGGTATGTTGCCCCCTTAGTGTCGGTACATCTAGACTCGCCTTACTTCAGTGGCACCTGTGCGTTGGCAGTAGTTGATACCTTGCCTATAGCTGGGATTGACGTGATACTAGCCAACGACTTGGTGACAGGTTGGGACTACAAACATCTCAAGGTTGTGGACGAGTCAGCCGGAACAGCAAGGTCGAGGTAACAGCTGGAAATGGTAATATCCAGGTACAGACGGACATGGAATTAGACAACATGTTTAATCCTTCCTCTCACCTACAGATCGATAGCATTCTAGCAGAGTCTCCTGATTCTTCTCCTGACAAGAAGCATGAGGTTTTGATGGCAGAAGCGACTGAGCGAGAAGAGAGGCCTCGTGTACAAACACCCACGGATACCCCAGAGTCTGGAGTGAAGGCACTTGAGTACTTGCGGTATGGCAAGGTACCACGTTCATTGAACCGGCCAGAGATTCCCCAGACGTCAGAGGTATGTGAGGTATGTGCGAAGGTTATAGTGCCCTCTTCGGTCCAAACCAGGCTAATGGATATAGCCGGCTATGGACATTACAGGCTCATGAAACTCATCCCTCAGTTAGCCAAATGTTTCTTAGCGGTATTTTTTGTTCTCGTGTGTGTTCTCAGTAAGGACCAGTGGACGTCCCGAAAGATGATGGCTCCAATGAACATCGCAAAGAGACCCCAGGGATTGGAGACTTGCACTGCGAGTGTTGCAGTCAACAAAGGGACCTGGACGGTGATAGTAGATACAGGAGGTATGAAAAATGACATTATGAGTGACTGTTTCCGGCAGGTTGACACCCCCCGCGTGATTGCTGAGCCTAGATGCAGCGTTATGCGGAACGTTGGTCTACCTGACGGTGGTAGAGCGGACACCATCTTCGATGTACGAACAGCCCCGTTGGGAATAGGTGTGGGCCTAGTAGAGGCATATGCTGTGAGTACTGATTTAACTATTGCTGTCACTCTAAATTATCAGACCCCTGTATTCCAGGTTCCCGTCTCCCTGAAGGACTACCGGACCGGTACCAGAAATGCCGTCTGTGACCAGCCATCAACAGTGCCACGACACAGGGAGGTGTCGAGTCACCCCAGATCGCATCTATACCGATCCTTATTCGAAGCACGTGAGATTATGCCCCTGCTTGACATCTCAGTGAAGGTGTGGGAAGGCACATCAGGCTGGCCATTGCCTTACATCTTCAAGTTTCTTTTATGCCAGAGTTGCCCATTAGGACAGTTTAGCGGACAAGACATCCTCGTCACTCCAGTCCATCGTTTATGTGAATCCATTTGGAGTTGTACCCACGTACTAATTTGATTTGTTTTCCCTTTTATAGAAATCCAAACCAAATTCTTTTTGGTGGGGAGGTGTTACAGACCCGAGTCCAGCGTCGTAGCACGGAGCAGTGACGACAACGCCATCTGTGAGTCCGCTCCCGAAACCCTCTCCAAATGGACGACGCAATCTAGTGAGGACGGGATATACCGGCAACAGGTGCTGGATTCCCGTCTTAATCAGCTCATAACATAGCCACTGCTGACCCCTGGTGAGGTGGCGCCTAGACAGCAACGCCATCTATGGAGTGGATAGGTGGACGTTTGTGTCTAAGCCTGTAAGTGAGGTGCCCTAGAGTGTCCCCAGCACTAATGACATGTCTGATTACAGAGTCGACCTGGGACTGCTGTATTGGACGATGAATCAGTCTACCTAAGGCAGCCAAGGTCTCTCCATGAGTTTGCTGAAGAAGCTGTGAGTCACCGCCAGACGAACACTGCTGAGAGTGTTAGCCTGCCTGTGACGTGGCAGTATCAGGGATCGCCTTATCCGGGGCTGGCTGGTGGAAGAGACTAGCCACTGTGGTGCTGAGAGAGGAGAGTGATCAGCGGAATCACACGAGGCTCCTGCCTAGTATCCTGCTCGCAACCCTAGTATCGGTCGTGGAGTGGCCTACACAGCGGAGCTGATCGGAACCTGCCAGCTACAGGCTGGATTTGTGGTTGAAGGCCTCCACGACAGAGCACCCAGTGGGACTGTGATTTGGCTGGCCTGTGGCCAGGGTAGATTCACCGAGAGAATCAAAGAGGATTCATCGTGGGCCACTGAAGAAGAGAACCAGGGCTACTCATCGTGAGCACCGTGGAGCATCCTGAGTCTTCGGAGGAAGACAAGTCATTGTACATTTGTGTATTCATACCCCCCGTGTGACTGTTTATATATTTATTTATGGTGGTGGTGATTATATATATAAAGCAGTGCATTTGTATCCCTTCCCCTTTAATTTAACTTGCGTTATGGAACACACCCCTTGAAAGCCACTACTAACTTGGGGTCGGATACCCCAACCTCTAATAACATCAGAGAAGAACCCGATTGCGACCCAATAGGGCACGTAACACTCGCATGGTTAACATAATCATGGCCAACATTCTCATGGTCAACCTTCTCATGGTTAACATAATCATAGTCAACATTATCAGGGTCAACATTCTCATTAACATAATCATGGTCAACATTATCATGCTCAACATTCTCATTGTTAATATAATCATGGTCAACATTATCAGGGTCAACATTACTATGGTCAATATTATCATAGTCAAGATTATCATGGTCAACATTCTCATGTTCAACATTATCCTGGTCAACATTTTCATGGTCAACATTATCATTGTCAACATTCTCATGGTCAACATTATCACGGTCAACATTACTATGGTTACCCTTCTCATGGTCAACAATACTTTGGTCAACAATACTTTGGTCATCATTCTTATGGTCAACATTATCATTGTCAACATTATCATGGTCAACATTTACATGGTCAACATTACTGTGGTTAACATTCTCATGGTCAACATTTTCATGGTCAACATTATCATGGTCAACATTACTATGGTCAACATTCTCAAGGTCAACATTATCATGGTCAACATTACTATGGTCAACATTCTCATGGTCAGCATTATCATGGTCAACATTATTATCGTTAACATTCTCATGGTCAACATTACTATGGTTAACATTATCGTGGTCAACATTATCATGGTCAACTTTATCATAGTCAACATTATCATGGTCAACATTTTCATGGTCAACATTATCATGGTCAACTTTCTCATAGTCAACATTATCATGGTCAACATTACTATGGTCATCATTATCATGGTCAACATTCTCATGGTCAACATTATCATGGTCAACATTCTCATAGTCAACATTATCATGGCCAACATTTTCATGGTCAACATTCTCATGGTCAACTTTCTCATTGTCAACATTCTCATGGTTAACATTATCATGGCCAACATTTTCATGGTCAACATTCTCATGGTCAACTTTCTCATGGTTAACATTCTCATGGTCAACATAAATATTGTTAACATTCTCATGGTCAACATTACTATGGTCAACACTTTCATGATCAACATTATCATTGTCAACATTATCATGGTCAACATTATCATGGTCAACACTTTCATGGTCAACATTTTCATTGTCAACATTATCATTGTCAACATTATCATGGTCAACATTATCATGGTCAACACTTTCATGGTCAACATTTTCATTGTCAACATTATCATGGTCAACATTATCATGGTCAACACTTTCATGGTCAACATTTTCATTGTCAACATTATCATGGTCAACACTTTCATGGTCAACATTTTCATTGTCAACATTATCATTGTCAACATTATCATGGTCAACATTATTATGGTCAACATTCTTATGGTCAACATTATCATGGTCAACATTATCAGGGTCAACATTATCATCGGTAACATTCTCATGATCAACATTATCGTGGTCAACATTCTCATTGTTTACATAATAATGGTCAATATTCTCATGGTCAACATTATCATGGTCAACATTCTCATGGTTAACATAATCATGATGACCATTATCATGGTCAACACTTATTATGGTCAACATTATCACGGTCAATATTATCATGTTCCACATTCTCATGGTCAACATTCTCATGGTCAACATTACTATGGTTAACATTATCATGGTCAATATTATCATGGTCAACATTACTGTGGTCAACATTAAAATGGATAACATTATCATGGTCAACATTATCATGGTCAAGATTACTATGGTAAACATTACCATGGTCAACATTATTATGGTCAACATTTTCATGGTTAACATAATCATGGTCAACATTATCATGGTCAACATTTATATGGTCCACATTATCATGGTCATTATTCTTATTATTAACATTCGCATGGTTAACATAATCATGATCAACATTATCAGGGTCAACATTCTCATTGTTAAAATAATCATGGTCAACATTTTCAGGGTCAACATTACTATGGTCAATATTATCATGGTCATGATTATTGTCGTCAACATTATCATGATCAACATTTTCATGGTAAACATTCTCATGGTCAACATTATCATGGTCAACATTATCATGGTCAACATTACTATGGTCAACATTCTCATGGTCAACATTAACATGGTCAACATTACAATAGTCAAAATTCTCATGGTCAACATTATTATGGTTAACATTCTCATGGTCAACATTACTATGTCAACATTATCATGGTCAACATTATCATGGTCAACATTATCATTTTCAACGTTATCATGGTCATTATTATTATGGTCAACATTCTCATGGTCAACATTACTATGGTCAACATTCTCATGGTCAACATTCTCATGATCAACATTATCATGGTCAACATTATCATGGTCAACATTTTCATGGTCAACATTTTCATTGTCAACATTATCATGGTCAACTTTCTCATAGTAAACATTATCATGGTCAACATTACTATGGTCAACATTCTCATAGTCAACATTATCATGGCCAACCATTTCATGGTCAACATTCTCATGGTCAACTTTCTCATGGTCAACATGCTCATGGTCAACATTATCATTGTGAACATTCTCATGGTCAACATTATCATTGTCGACATTCTCATGGTCAACATTACTATGGTTAACATTCTCATGGTCAACATTACTATGGTCAACATTCTCATGGTCAACATTACTCTGGTCAAAATTCTCACGATCAATATTATCATGGTCAACATTATCATGGTCAACATTCTCGTTGTCTACATTACAATGGACAACATTACTATAGTCAACATTATCATGGTCAACATTCTCATCGTTAATATTATCATGGTCAACATTCTCATGGTCAACATTCTCATGGTTAACATTCTCATGGTCAACATTCTCATGGTCAACATTCTCATGGTCAACATTATCATGATCAACATTACTATGGTCAACATTACTATGGTTAACATTCTCATGGTCAACATTACTATGGTTAACATAATCATGGTCAACATTATCATGGTCATCATTCTCATGGTCAACATTCTCATGGTTAACATTCTCATGGTCAACATTACCATGGTCAACATTCTCATGGTTAACATAATTATGGTCAAAATTACTATGGTCAACATTACTATGGTCAATATTATCATGGTCAACATTATCATGGTCAACATTACAATTGTTAATATTCTTATGGTCATTATTTCTATGGTCAACATTATTATGGTCAACATTCTCCTGGTCAACATTATAATGTCAACATTACCATGGTCAATATTATCATGGTGAACATTCTCATGGTTAACATAATCATGGTCAACATTATCAGGGTCAACATTCTTATGGTCAACATTCTCATGTTCAACATTATCATTGTCAACATTACTATGGTTAACATTCTCATGGTCAACATTACTATGGTTACTATTTCATGGTCAACATTATCATGCTCAACGTTACTATGGTTAACATTCTCATGGTTAACATTCGCATGGTTAACACAATCATGGTCAACATTATCATGGTCAACACTTATTATGGTCAACATTGTCATGGTCAATATTACTATGGTTAACATTTTCATGGTCAACATAATCATGGTCAACATTATCATGGTCAACACTTATTATGGTCAACATTATCAAGGTCAATATTACTATGGTTAACATTCTCATAGTCAACATTTTCATGGTCAACATTTTCATTGTCAACATTATCAGGGTCAACATTACTATGGTTAACATTCTCGTGGTTAACATAGTCATGGTCAACATTATCATGGTCAACATTCTCATAGTTAACATTCTCATGGTTAACATAATCATGGTCAACATTATCATGGTCATCATTATCAATGTCAACATTTTCATGGTTAACATAATAATGGTCAACATTACCATGGTCAACATTCTCATGCTTAACATAATCATGGTCAACATTATCAGGGTCAACATTACTATGGCCAACATTACTATGGTCAATATTATCATGGTCAACATTATAATGGTCAACATTACAATTGTTAATATTCTTTTGGTCATTATTTCTATGGTCAACATTATCATAGTCAACATTAACATGGTCAACATTACTATAGTCAAAATTCTCATGGTCAACATTATTATGGTTAACATTCTCATGGTCAACATTACTATGTCAACATTATCATGGTCAACATTATCATGGTCAACATTATCATTTTCAACGTTATCATGGTCATTATTATTATGGTCAACATTCTCATGGTCAACATTACTATGGTCAACATTCTCATGGTCAACATTCTCATGATCAACATTATCATGGTCAACATTATCATGGTCAACATTTTCATGGTCAACATTTTCATTGTCAACATTATCATGGTCAACTTTCTCATAGTAAACATTATCATGGTCAACATTACTATGGTCAACATTCTCATAGTCAACATTATCATGGCCAACATTTTCATGGTCAACATTCTCATGGTCAACTTTCTCATGGTCAACATGCTCATGGTCAACATTATCATTGTGAACATTCTCATGGTCAACATTATCATTGTCGACATTCTCATGGTCAACATTACTATGGTTAACATTCTCATGGTCAACATTACTATGGTCAACATTCTCATGGTCAACATTACTCTGGTCAAAATTCTCACGATCAATATTATCATGGTCAACATTATCATGGTCAACATTCTCGTTGTCTACATTACAATGGACAACATTACTATAGTCAACATTATCATGGTCAACATTCTCATCGTTAATATTATCATGGTCAACATTCTCATGGTCAACATTCTCATGGTTAACATTCTCATGGTCAACATTCTCATGGTCAACATTCTCATGGTCAACATTATCATGATCAACATTACTATGGTCAACATTACTATGGTTAACATTCTCATGGTCAACATTACTATGGTTAACATAATCATGGTCAACATTATCATGGTCATCATTCTCATGGTCAACATTCTCATGGTTAACATTCTCATGGTCAACATTACCATGGTCAACATTCTCATGGTTAACATAATTATGGTCAAAATTACTATGGTCAACATTACTATGGTCAATATTATCATGGTCAACATTATCATGGTCAACATTACAATTGTTAATATTCTTATGGTCATTATTTCTATGGTCAACATTATTATGGTCAACATTCTCCTGGTCAACATTATAATGTCAACATTACCATGGTCAATATTATCATGGTGAACATTCTCATGGTTAACATAATCATGGTCAACATTATCAGGGTCAACATTCTTATGGTCAACATTCTCATGTTCAACATTATCATTGTCAACATTACTATGGTTAACATTCTCATGGTCAACATTACTATGGTTACTATTTCATGGTCAACATTATCATGCTCAACGTTACTATGGTTAACATTCTCATGGTTAACATTCGCATGGTTAACACAATCATGGTCAACATTATCATGGTCAACACTTATTATGGTCAACATTGTCATGGTCAATATTACTATGGTTAACATTTTCATGGTCAACATAATCATGGTCAACATTATCATGGTCAACACTTATTATGGTCAACATTATCAAGGTCAATATTACTATGGTTAACATTCTCATAGTCAACATTTTCATGGTCAACATTTTCATTGTCAACATTATCAGGGTCAACATTACTATGGTTAACATTCTCGTGGTTAACATAGTCATGGTCAACATTATCATGGTCAACATTCTCATAGTTAACATTCTCATGGTTAACATAATCATGGTCAACATTATCATGGTCATCATTATCAATGTCAACATTTTCATGGTTAACATAATAATGGTCAACATTACCATGGTCAACATTCTCATGCTTAACATAATCATGGTCAACATTATCAGGGTCAACATTACTATGGCCAACATTACTATGGTCAATATTATCATGGTCAACATTATAATGGTCAACATTACAATTGTTAATATTCTTTTGGTCATTATTTCTATGGTCAACATTATCATAGTCAACATTCTCATGGTCAACATTACAATCTCAACATTACCATGGTCAACATTATCATGGTCAACATTCTCATGGTTAACATAATCATGGTCAACATTATCAGGGTCAACATTTTCATAGTCAAAATTATCATGGTCAACATTTTTATGGTCCACATTATCATTGTCAACATTCTCATGGTTAACATAATCATGGTGTTACGGCCCTAATGGGACGCAACCGGGTTCCTCTCTGATGGTATTAGAGTTTGGGTATCCGGCCCCAAGTTAGTAGAGGCTTTCAAGTAGTGAGCTCCGTAATGCAAGAAAAATAAACAGGTGAGGTACATTAAATACACCAGTTTAACACTTTCTCTATATAAAATTCTTTTCCCACCACCATATATAATAAAAAGTCACAAACGGGAAATATTGCTACCCAATGTATATCTTCGTCTCCCTCTGAAGACGCTGAACACTTGGCGACGCTCACTCTGTGCAGTCTAGCCTAGGTTCCTATTCCCTGGCACTACCGTCTGCAGGTACCAGGAAACCACGATGAATCTACCCTGGCCACAGGGCATCCAAATCACAATTCCACTGGGTGCCCCGTCGTGAAGGCCCACAACCACAGTCCAGCCTGTAGCTGGCAGGTACCAATCAGCCTCGCAGTTAGGCCACTTCTCGACGAATACTAGCTTTGCGAGCCCTAGGCAGGAGCCTGTGTAACTCGCTGGTTACTCTCCTCATTCGGCACCACAATCGGACGTCTCCTCCACAAGCCAGACCGGATACGGCGAATCCCGTCACTGCCACTCCTCAGGCAGACAGTTGAACACTACAGTTCTCGTCCGGCGGCGGCTCACTGCTTCTACAAAGCAGACTGGTGAAGAGACCTTGGCTGCCTTGGGTAGACTGACTCATGGTACATCACAGCAGTCCTAGGTTGACACTGTGAAAGCACACACGTCATCAGTACTGGGACACTACATGGGACCACTAGGAAACATCACCTACTGGCTTATACACAAACGTACAGCTTCTAGCTCAATAGATGGCGCTGATGTTCTGTGCGCCGCCTCACCAGAGGTCAGCACTAGCTACCTCACGAGCTACCAGGACAAGAATCTAGCATGTCGAGCTGGTATATTACTGCCACCACTAGATGGCGTCGTCCATTTCGTGGGGGTTTCGGGAGCTGACTCACAGATGGCGTTGACGTCATTGCTCCGTGTTCTGACGGTGGACTTGGGTTCGTAACACATGGTCAACATTATCAGGGTCAACATTACTATGGTCAACATTACTATGGTCAACAATACTATGGTTAACATTATCATGGTCAACAATATCATGGTCAACATTACTATGATCAACAATATCATGGTCAACATTACTACGGTCAACATTATCATGGTCAACATTTTTATGGTTAACATTCTCATGGTCAACATTACTACAGTTAACATTCTCATGGTCAACATTACTATGGTCAACATTATCATGGTCAATATTCTCATGGTCAACATTACTATGGTCAACATTATCAAGGTCAACATTCTCATGATCAATATTATCATGGTGAACATTCTCATGGTCAACATTATCATGGTCAACATTCTCATGGTCAACATTATCATGGTCAAAATTACCATGGTCAACATTGTCATCGGTAACATTCTTATTATCAACATTATCATTGTCAACATTCTTATGGTCCAGATTATCGTGGTCAACATTCTCATGGTTATCATAATCCTGGTCAACATTCTCATGGTTAACATAATCCTGGTCAACATTATCATGGTTAACATAATCCTGGTCAACATTATCATGGTCAACACTTATTATGGTCAACATTACTATGGTCAACATACTTATGATCAACATTATCATGGTCAACATTATCACGGTTAATATTATCATGGCCCACATTCTCATGGTCAACATTATCACGGTTAATATTATCATGGCCCACATTCTCATGGTCAACATTCTCATGGTCTACATTAAAATGGTTAAAATTATCATGGTCAACATTACTATGGTTAACATTGTCATGGTCAACATTCCTATGGTTAACATTGTCATGGTCAACATTACTTTGGCCAACATTGTCATGGTCAACATTACCGTACATTATTCTTATGATCAACATTATCATTATCAACATTATAATGGTCAACATTCTCATGGTCATCATTACTGTGGTTAACATTACTATGGTTAACATTCTCATGGTCAACTGTTACGGACCCGAGCCGAGCGTCCGAGCACGGAGCGGTGACGACAACACCATCTATGGGTCAACTCCCGAAACCCCCTCCAAATGGACGACGCCATCTAGCGAGGACGGATATACCGGCCACAGGGGCTGGTTTCCCGTCTTGATCAGCTAGTAGTGTAGCTGCTGCTGACCTCTCGTGAGGTGGCGCTTAGACAGCAACGCCATCTATGGAGTGGATAGGTAGACGTTTGTGTCTGAGCCTGTGAGTGAGGTGCCCTAGAGTGTCGTCAGTACTAATGACGTGTCTGATTACAGAGTCGACCTGAGACTGCTGTATTGGACGATGGATCGGTCTACCCAAGGCAGTAATAGTCTCTCCACGAGTTTGCTCTGAGGAAGCTGGGAGTCACCCCAGGACAGACACTGTTGAGAGTGTTAGCCTGCCTGTGACGTGGCAGAGTCGAGGAATCGTCGCATCCGGGGCTGGCTGGTGGAGGAGACTAGCCACTGTGGTGAGGAGAGTGATCTGTGGAATCACACAAGGCTCCTGCCTAGGGCTCGCAACCCTAGTATCGATCGTGGAGTGGCCTACTCAGTGGAGCTGATCGGAACCTGCCAGCTACAGGCTGGATTTGTGGTTGAAGGCCTCCACGACGGTGCACCCAGTGGGACTGTGATTTGGCTGGCCTGTGGCCGGGGTAGATGCGCCGAAAGAATCAGAAGGATTCATCGAAGGCCACGACGAAGAGAACCAGGGCTACTCATCGTGAGCACCGTGGAGCATCCCGTGTCTTCAGAGGAAGACGATTCTGTACATTGTGTATTTATACCCCCCCGTGTGACAGTTTATATATTTATTTATGGTGGTGGTGATCATATATACAAAAGCAGTGTATTTGTATCCCTTCCCCTTTTATTTAACTTGCATTACGGAACACATCCCTTGGAAGCCACTACTAACTTGGGGCCGGATACCCAAACTCTAATAACATCAGAGAAGAACCCCTTTGCGACCCAATAGAGCCGTAACATCAACATTATCATGGTCAACATTATCATGGTCAACATTCTTATGGTCAATATTACTATGGTTAACATTACTATGGTTAACATTCACATGGTCAACATTATTATGGTCAACATTACTAGGGTTAACAATCTCATGGTCAACATTATCATGGTCAACATTATCATTGTCAACATTACTATGGTCAACATTATCATGGTCACCATTATCATGGTCAACATTATCATTGTCAACATTACTATGGTTAACATTATCATGGTCAACATTATCATGGTCAACATTACTATGGTCAACATTCTCATGGTCAACATTCTCATGGTCAACATTACTATGGTCAACATTCTCATGGTCAACATTCTCATGGTCAACATTCTCATGGTCAACATTACTATGGTCAACATTCTCATGGTCAACATTCTCATGGTCAACATTATCATGGTCAACATTACTATGGTCAACATTCTCATGGTCAACATTCTCATGGTCAACATTCTCATGGTCAACATTACTATGGTCAACATTCTCATGGTCAACATTATCATGGTCAACATTGCTATGGTCAACATTCTCATGGTCAACATTCTCATGGTCAACATTCTCATGGTCAAGATAAATATGGTTAACATTCTCATGGTCAACGTTCTCATGGTCAACATTCTCATGGTCAGCATTCTCATGGTCAACATTCTCATGGTCAACATAATCATGGTCAACATTATCAGGGTCAACATTACTATGGTCAACATTACTATAGTCAATATTATCATGGTCAACATTATCATGTTCAACATTACTATTGTTAACATTCTCATGGTCACCATTATCATGGTCAACATTATCATGGTCAATATTATCATGGTCAACATTCCAATGGTCACCATTATCATGGTCAACATTATCATGGTCAACATTATCATGGTCAACATTTTCATGGTCAACATTCTAATGGTCAACATTATCATGGTCAACATTATCATGGTTAACATTATCATGGTGAACATTCTCATGGTCAACATTATCATGGTCAACATTTTCATGGTCAACATTCCAATGGTCGACATTATCATGGTCAACAATATAACACAACGAGAGGGGTTATCACTGACCTGATATCCAAGAAACGTTATCTTATGAAAGGAAACACCAACGTCACTGCATTAAGTTGTTATCTAGACATTATAACATATAATTGCACTTAAAGTTAGCGAATAATTATTTACATTAACTTTAATTAATGACGCGAGACAATTTACCAGGAGATCGTTCGGCTTGAAATCGGTCCCAGGCTGCAATTAGCAGATTAAAGATGACAGTTCTGTCTCCATTGATTGGTCCACATTGCCGGTATGTTTCGGGATGTTTAAAACGGGTTGAATGACACCTTTGTGTAGCGCACGTGTTCCATTGTTGTCACGGCTGAGGGAGCGTAGGTTCTGTGTTGACAAACAGCAGGTATATATGTGTTTTGAAAGGCTTTAGCTCTTGGGTTCCCACCCATTCGAGTCAAATCCGGATATATCAACCTATTCCAAAGGATATTATGGTCACTCATGATATTTCTAGTCCATAGGTGTACTCGTAGTAGCATTTATGTCAGTGCTTTAGCTCTTCGGTCCCATAATTCCAAACAATTTCAGAATATTTATTCCAGCGTGTTTATCTATTTGTGTCTTTCTCTAATTGTGAGTAGTCACCCCTATTTGTACTCACCTGTTTGTAGGTGAGGAACGTCTGCCCTTGCCACGACCCAGCGTGTGGGAAGGGCAGTTCCCGCCAAACACACACCGAAACTACGACGTTGGTACAACGTTCGAACAAGTTTTAACACCTAACCACTTATAACAACCAATATAGCAAGTTGTAACAACGTTCTAATACGTCATAAACACGTTAAGCCAAGATGTAACAACTTTATTACAAGTTGTAACAAGCGGAAAATAGAGACAGTTTCGGTTTGTGTTTCCAGGGTTACTCACCACTTACCTGTGACTGCCTCAGTGAGTCACTAAAACACTGCAGGTAAGTTGTAAACAATTTCTAGCTATTTTAGAGTGTGTGTGTGTGAGAGAGAGTGAGAGGGGGTTTGAGAGAGAGAGAGAGTGTTGACCAGACCACACACTAGAAGGTGAAGGGACGACGACGTTTCGGTCCTCAGGACGGACCGAAACGTCGTCGTCCCTTCACCTTCTAGTGTGTGGTCTGGTCAACATACTTTAGCCACGTTATTGTGAATCATCGCCTGCAGAAAGAGAGAGAGAGAGAGAGAGAGAGAGAGAGAGAGAGAGAGAGAGAGAGAGAGAGAGAGAGAGAGAGAGAGAGAGAGAGAGAGAGAGAGAGAGAGAGAGAGAGAGAGAGAGAGAGAGAGAGAGAGAGAGAGAGAGAGAGAGAGAGACAGAGAGACAGACAGAGACAGACAGAGGGAGGGAGGGAGGGAGAGAGACGGAGACAGGGAGGGATAAGAAGAGGGAGATGAAGAAGGAGAGAGAGAGGAAGCGGGGGGGGGGGGGAGAGAGAGAGAATATTCCAGCATGTGTACTTACCTACTCCTGCCTTAGCTCTTGTCCCCTACTATTCCAAATACCATTCCTACACTTAGCGTGTGTACTCACCTAGTTGTGCTTGCGCGTATTGAGCTCTGGCTCTTTGGTCCCGCCTCTCAACCGTCAATCAACTGGTGTACAGGTTCCTGAGCCTACTGGGCTCTATCATATCTACACCTGAAACTGTGTATGGAGTCAGCCTCCACCACATCACTGCCTAATGCATTCCATCCGTTAACTACTTTGTTCCGTATTTCCCCGTGCATAAGAGTGGCAGCTGCCTCTACCTGCCGCTCTCTACACCATCATGCTGCGATACTCCCTCTCCACCATCATGCTGCGATACTCCCTCTCCACCATCATGCTGCGATACTCCCTCTCCACCATTATGCTGCGATACTTCCTCTACACCATCATGCTGCGATACTCCCTCTACACCATCATGCTGCGATACTCCCTCTCCACCATCAAGCTGCGATACTCCCTCTACACCATCATGCTACGATACTTCCTCTACACCATCATGCTGCGATACTCCCTCTCCACCATCATGCTGCGATACTCCCTCTCCACCATCATGCTGCGATACTTCCTCAACACCATCATGCTGCGATACTCCCTCTCCACCATCATGCTGCGATACTTCCTCAACACCATCATGCTGCGATACTTCCTCTACACCATCATGCTACGATACTTCCTCTACACCATCATGCTACGATACTTCCTCAACACCATCATGCTGCGATACTCCCTCTCCACCATCATGCTGCGATACTTCCTCTCCACCATCATGCTGCGATAGTCCCTCTCCACCATCATGCTGCGATACTTCCTCTCCACCATCATGCTGCGATAGTCCCTCTCCACCATCATGCTGCGATACTTCCTCTACACCATCATGCTGCGATACTCCCTCTCCACCATCATGCTACGATACTCCCTCTCCACCATCATGCTGCGATACTTCCTCTACACCATCATGCTGCGATACTCCCTCTACACCATCATGCTACGATACTTCCTCTACACCATCATGCTACGATACTTCCCCTACACCATCATGCTGCGATACTCCCTCTACACCATCATGCTGCGATACTTCCTCTACACCATCATGCTACGATACTTCCTCTACACCATCATGCTGCGATACTCCCTCTCCACCATCATGCTGCGATACTCCCTCTCCACCATCTTGCTGCGATACTTCCTCTCCACCATCATGCTGCGATACTCCCTCTCCACCATCATGCTGCGATACTTCCTCAACACCATCATGCTGCGATACTCCCTCTCCACCATCATGCTGCGATACTCCCTCTCCACCATCATGCTGCGATACTCCCTCTCCACCATCATGCTGCGATACTCCCTCTCCACCATCATGCTGCGATACTTCCTCTACACCATCATGCTACGATACTTCCTCTACACCATCATGCTGCGATACTCCCTCTACACCATCATGCTGCGATACTTCCTCTACACCATCATGCTACGATACTTCCTCTCCACCATCATGCTGCGATACGTCCTCTACACCATCATGCTACGATACTTCCTCTACACCATCATGCTGCGATACTTCCTCTACACCATCATGCTGCGATACTCCCTCTACACCATCATGCTGCGATACTTCCTCAACACCATCATGCTGCGATACTTCCTCAACACCATCATGCTGCGATACTTCCTCAACACCATCATGCTGCGATACTCCCTCTCCACCATCATGCTGCGATACTTCCTCAACACCATCATGCTGCGATACTCCCTCTACACCATCATGCTGCGATACTTCCTCAACACCATCATGCTGCGATACTCCCTCTCCACCATCATGCTGCGATACTTCCTCTACACCATCATGCTGCGATACTCCCTCTCCACCATCATGCTGCGATACTTCCTCAACACCATCATGCTGCGATACTCCCTCTCCACCATCATGCTGCGATACTTCCTCTCCACCATCATGCTACGATACTTCCTCAACACCATCATGCTGCGATACTTCCTCTACACCATCATGCTGCGATACTTCCTCTACACCATCATGCTGCGATACTTCCTCAACACCATCATGCTGCGATACTCCCTCTCCACCATCATGCTGCCATACTTCCTCTACACCATCATGCTGCGATACTTCCTCTACACCATCATGCTGCGATACTTCCTCTCCACCATCATGCTGCGATACTTCCTCTACACCATCATGCTACGATACTTCCTCTACACCATCATGCTGCGATACTCCCTCTCCACCATCATGCTGCGATACTCCCTCTCCACCATCATGCTGCGATACTTCCTCTACACCATCATGCTGCGATACTTCCTCTACACCATCATGCTACGATACTTCCTCTACACCATCATGCTGCGATACTCCCTCTCCACCATCATGCTGCGATACTCCCTCTCCACCATCATGCTGCGATACTTCCTCTACACCATCATGCTACGATACTTCCTCTACACCATCATGCTACGATACTTCCTCAACACCATCATGCTACGATACTTCCTCTCCACCATCATGCTACGATACTTCCTCAACACCATCATGCTGCGATACTTCCTCAACACCATCATGCTACGATACTTCCCCTACACCATCACAACCTGGAGTCAGAGGTGTGGAGAGCTCCACCACGGACCCCGACCCGGTCCCGAGAGCGCCACACGCCAGGAGCCTGGTGTGCCCCGGTGACTTGTCCAGCACACGCCAACGACCCATTACTTCCCTGGCTCTTAGTTATCCCTCACCTTGCCGCCAGCGTGACGTCACCCGCAGGGGTATGTAAGCACCTGCTAGTGACCCAGCAAGTCTTCAGGGCTCACCATAGCCCGTGATACATGCCCCTCCCCTCTACCAGGTAAGTTACGGGATCACCATAGCCCGTGCTATATGGACACTTCGTTCTGAGTAGCTGAATCTGTAACAACAACAACAATCCAGCAAGGTGTCTGGCCAACACTGAAGAAAGAATGGCTCTTAATCCAACTGAATGGAAAGCCAATCCACTGCACCAAAATATGTTTGCTTACAGAAAAGGTTGATACCTGGTTGATACCTGGTTGATGGGGTTCTGGGAGTTGTTCTACTCCCCAAGCCCGGCCCGAGGCCAGGCTCGACTTGTGAGGTGTTGGAACCACAGAATGCCTTACCTCCCTCCTGGATCATATCAATGACAAACTTGGAATCCTTATTTTTCTTGACCTAGAAAAAGCCTTCGAGTTAGCCAGTGCTCCAGCTACACTATGCTGCCTTGTGGATAAGGAAATCAAAGGACACGCTCTTGCCTTTGCCAAAGGAAGCCTGCTTAACCGAGAAGCTAAAGTCAAATTCCAGGGAGAAACATCGACCTCAAAGAGGCTGGAAAATGGAACTCCGCAGGGAGGAATACTAAGCCCCTTCCTCTTCAACTGTCTCATGGAACAATTCATGAAGCTCAAGCTACCAAAAGCCAAACTTCTTAACTATGCAGACGACTTTGTGGTCATCATCAATGACAAAGGCGCCAGGAACCATGCACAAAAATACCTAGATATTATCAGCAGGGAAGCGGAACGCAGCAGTGAAAATAAACATCAATAAAATAAAAGCAATGGCCGTTAAAATGAGAACTCAAGACATCAGACTGGCAATACAAGGACAAGAAATTGAGTGGGTTGCCTCTTTTCAATACCTGGGAGTCATAATAGACAACCAGTTGAAATTCACTCAAGAAATTGAATATCTTCGGCAACGCTGTAAAGCCAGAAACTCAGCTTTGCGCTCTCTGACCAGTCTTAGAGAGGGTGTATCTCTACCAGTACTCAAAATGTACTACGTTCAAGCAGTTAGGTCACTCATCGACTATGCTGCTCCTGCTCTTACATCCCTCAGTGATAACCAATGGCAGAAACTGGAAGTGTCTCAAATGATGCTCTGAGAACAATGCTGGGAGCACCTATATGGACGCGTAGAGAGAACCTTAGAATGGAAACCAACTTACCAGCATTAGAACACAGGATGAAACAAAGGATAGCCACTATAACAGCAAAACTTGTTGGAACCACCGCCAGACTGTCAATCAAAGACAGCTTACGCAGATCGCTTCACAGAAACCTTCAATATAGAACAACTGCATAGACGGATAATCTAGTGAAGATTCTAGAGAAAGTGGACTTAAAATGGATCATTAAAAATAAAGCGGAAGACAGATCATATCAACACTTTCGGCAGCCTCCTCCATGAGAAGAATCGAGTCTAAAGATAATCATTAAAGGATTATCAGTTACAGAATCAGCATGTGACTCGCAGAGGCTAAGAGCAGTCATAGAACAACAAATGGAAACCATCTGAAGACCTACAACGACTCACATCTTCACAGACGGATCAGTTGATCAAGAAAGAGGTTCTGCTGGCGCAGCAGTTTACACTACCAACCATGAAGCTTACTGGAGCATGAATAGTGGGTGCTCAACATTGCAAACAGAATTATATGCCCTGAAGGAGGCAATAAACTATACAATTGAGAATAATTTACATGATGTCATCATTCATACCGACTCTAAATCTTCGCTCCAGGCATTGTTATCCAGCCAGCACAGAGATAATATATAACTCCTCACAGAAATTCAACATATAGGAAAAGAAGCCCATAATCTAGGACTGTCAATCACTCAAAATTGGATACCAAGTCACATTGGCATAAATGATAATGAAAAGGCAGACTCACTAGCAAAAACTGCCACCGCTCTACCTGTTGTACAGGTTCAAATACCTCCAAGTTTCTCACAGATTAAGTAGCAAATCAAGAAGAAAATATTCTCAACTATCAAAAGTCGCCACAGAGCCAAAGTAGTGGAAGGAAGATCCACTGCGATATGGTACGAACAAGCCACTGGTTACTCCTCTTTCAAGCCTGACAAAAAGATATCCAGAGACATTGCAGTAGCCATACACAGACTCAGACTTGGTTACAAGTGCTGCTGGGAGGTAATGAACCCAATAGTTAAAGAGTGTCACATCTGTAGAACGGAAGCAGAGGCGACACTATTGCACTACTTACTGGAATGTGAAGCTACTGAAGCCCTGCGCATCAAACTCAACATTAATCCAACGACAGCAGCTGCATAAGATGCACATTCCACCGCGACTACAGTGATTAGAAAAGCCGTTAAAGAATGGGACTCACTAGTGAACATTCTGCACCTACATCCGCCACCAAGATAATGTTATTAAAACACGACTAAAACAGAAGCGAAAAAATAACAGGGGGGAAAAAGGAGGAAAAGCCCAAATATCAGAGTAACAAGGTTATCGCGAATAACCGAACTCAATTACGGGCTCACCATAGCCCGTGCTACATGGACATTTAGTTCTGAGTAGCTAAATCTAAAACAACAATAACAACCCAGCAGGCAGAATACTCGTGGTGGTCCCTCGGGTCCTACACGTCCCCTCCGTCACTCCGTCACTCCGTCACTCCGTCACTCCACGTGGTCTCGCTCCGGCGCGTGACGGTGGCGAGGCAGCCTCGTGTACATAGTCTAGAGTCACCCATCCCTCCCTGGTTTTTTTTTTAAGTAACGTAAATATTAAATTTGTTTATTTTTGGGTGTAAGCCAAGTTTCTCAGGATTTATTAATTTGTTATGATTGTTATTATAAGTAAAGTATTTTAATTATTTATGATTATTGCTTACTCCTACAACTATCACACCGCAAAGGTCATTACCAGTTTTATTTTTTTTATTTAATGTACTTGAGCCAAAGAAGAGCTGGCGGGTAGTTGCTACAGTACCTACAACACATCACAGTACTCACATAGTTGTACCTGCAGGTTGTCAGTTATTGCTAACTATTCCAAAACAGTTCCAGTCACAAGCCTTGAGTGTGTGTGTGTGAATGTGAGTCGTTTCTGCAGACTTTTCCCCGCCATTACAACTCTCGTCTTCCTCACAATATCAGATTCATTTTACTCTGGCAGTGTTGAATATCTCTCCCTCGTTCATGTGTTGAGTGGTGGACCTGTAGTTACCAGGGGCTGATTCACGAAAGCACTTACCCAAGCACTTACGAACCTGAACATCTTTTCTCAATCTTTGGCGGCTTTGTTTACAATTATTAAACAGTTTATGAGCTCCGAAGAACCAGGAGGCTGTTCATAACAATAACGACAGTTGAATGGGAAGTTTTCATGTTTGTAAACTGCTTAATAAATGTAACCAAAGCCGTCAAATATTAAGGAAAGATGTACACGTTCGTAAGTACTTTCGTGAATCTGGCCCCAGACTTCTCTCACTCGGAGGCCTCCTTACAAGTTGCAACAATCGTTGTTGTTGTTGATCAGTTTCCATACACTATCTTGGGGTACCACAGTATAGGTCAAACACGCACACACCAGATGTCACTAATGTACCTTGGGTTGATTGCGGGGGTCAAGGTTCCCGCGGCCCGGTCTCTGACCAGGCCTCCTCGTTGCTGAACTGGTCAACCAGGCTGTTAGACACGGCTGCTAGCAGCCGCGCCTAACCAGGCTGCAGGTTGATGTATGAGTCAACCTACAGTGTTGATTAACCTGGTTGATCAAAACTGATCAACTAGGCTGTGACGTATGAGTCACAGTTTGGTTGATCAGGTATCCTTTGGAGGTGCTTATCAAGTTCTCTCTTGAACACTGTGAGGGGTCGGCCAGTTATGTCCCTTATGTGTAGTGGAAGCGTGTTGAACAGTCTCGGGCCTCTGATGTTGATAGTTCTCTCTTGAACACTGTGAGGGGTCGGCCAGTTATGACCCTTATGTGTAGTGGAAGCGTGTTGAACAGTCTCGGGCCTCTGATGTTGATAGTTCTCTCTTGAACACTGTGAGGGGTCGGCCAGTTATGACCCTTATGTGTAGTGGAAGCGTGTTGAACAGTCTCGGGCCTCTGATGTTGATAGTTCTCTCTTGAACACTGTGAGGGGTCTGCCAGTTATGCCCCTTATGTGTAGTGGAAGCGTGTTGAACAGTCTCGGGCCTCTGATGTTGATAGTTCTCTCTTGAACACTGTGAGGGGTCGGCCAGTTATGCCCCTTATGTGTAGTGGAAGCGTGTTGAACAGTCTCGGGCCTCTGATGTTGATAGAGTTCTCTCTCAGAGTACCTATTGCACATCTGCTCTTCAACGGGGGTATTCTGCACATCCTGCCATGTCTTCTGGTCTCATGTGGTGTTATTTCTGTGTGCAGGTTTGGGACCAGCCCCCTCTACTATTTTCCCCGTGTAAATTATTGTGTATCTCTCCCGCCTGCGCCCAAGTGAATACAGATTTAGGCATTTTAGTCGGCCCCAATAGTTTAGATGTTTTACTGAGTGGATTCTAGCAGTAAAGGATCTCTGCACGCTCTCCAGGTCAGCAATTTCTCCAGCTTTGAAAGGGGCTGTCATTGTGCAGCAGTACTCCACTCTAGAGAGCACTAGCGTCTTGAAGAGTATCATCATCGATACAGCATCTCTAGTGTGAAAAGTTCTTGTTATCCAACCTGTCATTTTTCTTGCAGTTGTGACGGCTACTTTATTGTGTTCTTTAAAGGTAAGGTCTTCCAACATGAGTACACCCATGAATACACCTATTAGTACATTACATCAGTATTTTGTTTGTCTTCCATGGCGTCTAGTGCCATGTCATAGTGGTCCAGCAACTGTGACAGGCAAGAGCACCCTGTTCTGAACCCATGTTGTCCGGGGTTATGTAGTCGCTGTGATTCCAAGTGTGTTGTGACCCTTTCACAGATTTTTATGATGTGTGATGTTAGTGCTATTGACTTACAGTCTTTTGCCTCTGCTTTATTCTCTCCTTTATGGAGTGGTGCTATCTTTGCTGTATATAGTATGTCAGGGATGACACCAGTATCTAGGCTCGTCTCCAAATTTTTGGGGGCCTGCGACAGTGTTTTTGTTACAGCTCTTGGTGAATACCCTCCAAACACACACCGAAACTACGACGTTGGTACAACGTTCGAACAAGTTTTAACACCACCTAACCAGTTATAACAACCAATATATCAAGTTGTAACAACGTTCCAATACGTCATAAACACGTTAAGCCAAGATGTAACAACTTTATTACAAGTTGTTACAAGCGGAAAATAGAGACAGTTTCGGTTTGTGTTTCCAGGGTATGGAGTTCCAGGAATAAGGGCCTGGTGCAGAATGCATAGGCATACTATCTGTGGCTACTTCTAAATTAAGTGGAGTTAGGGTGACATCTGATATATGATTTAAAGTTGATATGACAATCATGAAGAATTCGTTTGGGTTTTCAATCTTTAGTGTATTTAATGGATCACTGAAAACAGAGTCGTACTGATTCCTCAATATTTCGCTCATTTCTTTGTTGTCATCTGTGAAAGTTTCATCTCCATTTCGCAGGGGCCCGATTCTGGATGTAGTTTTTGTTCTAGATTTTGCATAGGAGAAAACGTATTTCGGACTTCACTCTATTTCGCTAATGGTCTTTTGGTCTCTCTGCCTCTCCTGGATTTTATACAATTCTTGTACCTCTAATTCGATCGGGTTTCTATTTCTCTACCTAACCTACTTCGCCGTTCTTGAGATTCGTCAAGTTGTTCTGCGATTCGTTTTCTTCGCCAATAGAGGGGAACGACGTTCCCGTTCCAGTCTGCATATCTTCCTCTTAGAGGTCTGCGGCTTGAGCGTATTTCTAGTGCCACCAACTTTATTGTCTCGATACACTGGTTTAGATTTGTATTTTCTAGCTGTTCTTCCCGTCTTGTATCTGAGAGGTCTTAGTTTATTTGGGCCTGGTTAACAAACCAGGATATACTAACCTAACCTAACCTAACCTAACCTAACCTAACCTAACAAACCTGGATATACTAACCTAACCTAACCTAACCTAACCTAACCTAACCTAACCTAACAAACCTGGATATACTAACCTAACCTAACCTAACCTAGTCCATTTTTCTCACTCCAAATTTAAAGTTAGACGTCATACAGACAGTCCATGTGTTTCTTTGTTGTTGTTATTGATGACCAAACCGCTCATCAGGACATTAAGAAACGTCCGTTGTGGGTCGTTATCAAGTCGTCCTGATAACGTGACTTCAGACACGTTATTGGGTAATTGTGTTATTATACAAAGGATTTTAAGGACCAGACAATATTCACCTCTAAAGTATTTTTAAAACAAGGAATATTTCTTCAAATTTCATTCTCATATTTTATATGTTTGGGTTAACCCAACCTTTATTATTTAGAAGATAAGCCTTGTTCACAAGTGCCTACATACTATCTCCTTAATCAACCCCACGATGATATTATGCCTCTTTAGTTTAATGATCAATATGTTATTTAATAATATATAGTTTAACGTCATATACTACAGGTACGTTGATGATATTTTTATGCAGGTACCTGATGTTAGACGCCTGCAACAGCTGAAGGAGGCATTCGAGCAAAATTCGGTGTTAAGTTTCACTTACGATATAGAGAGTGATGCGAGGCTGTCCTTTCTAGATGTAACAGTCACGGAGAGGAATGGTGGCTTCCACACTGCAGTCTACACTAAGGAAACGAACATTGGAATGTTCCTTAATGCCAACAGTGACTGCCCAGACAGGTACAAGAGGAGTGTCGTCAACGCTTATGTCAACCGTGCTCTCACTCATAGCTCTGGTTGGAAGCAGGGCGACAAAGAACTCTGTAGAGTAAGGCAGGTCCTAGTCAACAACGGCTTCTCAAATGGTTATGTTGAAGACGTCATCAAATGAAAGGTGAAACGCCATGCAACCTTTGAAGAGTCAACTAACACAACACCTGTACCCCCCCCTCCCCCCCCCCCCCCATTAGACTGTTTTACAGGAACTTCTTTTCGACTGCTCATAAAATGGAGGAAAGTGTCCTGAAAGATATAATTAATAGGAATGTTATCCCCACGGACAAAAATCAGAATATATAATGAACAATTTACTATAAAACCAAGAAAACGGCCAACCTACTCATGAGAAACTTTCCAGACACCAAGCAGAACGCCCTGAAGGAAACCAACGTCGCCTATGCCTTCACATGCCCGCTTGGGGACTGTAAGCCTCAAATTTCAGTATATAGGCAAGACAACAACGTCTCTTTTCAGGCGATTAACGATGCATGAACAACAGGGCTCCATCAAGGAACATATAATCTTCTTTCACAACCAGACCGTCACCAGAGAAATCTTAACAAGCAACACAGAAATTATCGATAGGTACAGCTATAACAGGAGCCTCTACATCAGCGAGGCCCCACACATCAAAAAGTTAAAGCCAGCAATCAACAGTCAGTTTACACATAATTACATTCTACTCACTTAAAGACCCAGAACCAGCACAGAAGCAAAGAGATAAATGTATACCCATGGTCATATGACCTGTATATACCCATTGTTTCGTGTTCTGTCTTTTCCCATTGATTTGTTTCCTGCCACCTCACCCAAAAACGTATTTAAGCATGATCTAAGTATGCAAAAACATTGTCTTTGAAAATGTAAGTGTTCTTGCGAAACGCTTGTAGGCGTCAGACCATAAATAAAAAGTAAAAATGAACTTTGGAGAGTAAATTTTTCAACTACCCCTCGACAGTGAAGAAAAACATAAGAAATATTGACAAGATTCGTGTTAGAATAATTAATCATCCCCTTTCGGTCATACTCAACAACAAATATATATGTATACTAGCTGCGCCCGGCCACGCGTTGCTGTGGCTCAGCAACGCACATGTATTGCAGAGCAACCTTTCTCGGTCTCCTAGTCCTCCCCACCATTCCCCTCTCCCTCGTCTCCTCGTCCTCCCCACCATCTCTCACTTCCATCCGCTCGTCATCCCCACCATTCCCCACTCCCTCGTTCGATGCCTTCCCAAATGGTCTGATGTTCCCATCAGAGAATTGGGAACATCAAGCGATCTGATGTTCCCATCACTGAAATATAAGAAAAACAGTTAAAAAATGAAATGAAAATATGAAAAAGTAAAATAATAAACTATACTCACAAAATGAACGGTATGGTAAACAACACAGCTCATTTCGAACGCAATTCACACAAAATAATTAAATCAAAATCTATGAAAATTTAATTTATCAATGCAATCAGAAACATTGAAATGGAATTGAAACATATTTAGTATAGCATGTGTTGGTCTTATGTGCAACAGATGGCGCTGTTTTTCAAGAAAAGCATAGTTTTACCTGTCACAGGTGTGGCATCTATACTTATAATTACGAAATGAACGGTATGGTAAACAACACAGCTCAATTCCAGCACAATGTCACACAAAATAATTCAATAAAAAATATAATAAATCGAAATCTATAAAAACAAAGTTTATCAATGCAATCGGAAACATTAAAATGGAATTCGTGACATATTTAGTATAGCGTGCATGTTGCTATTATGTGCAACAGATGGCGCTGTTTTTCAAAAACGCATGTTTTTACCTGTCACAGGTGAGGCATCTATATAGCAGGTATGTAAAAAGACACGCCTATTCGAATGAATCGTCGTGTCAGAATTTCAAAGCAATCGGTAAAGAGGTTTCAAAGATTTCTCTCACATGAAAAACACTCATAAAACAGTTTTTCAAAAAAGCATGTTTTACAGTCACAGACGTAACATTAATATGATATGTGTATATATATATATATATATATATATATATATATATATATATATATATATATATATATATATATATATATATATGGGGGGATACATAAGGGATAAACATAGGGGCTGCAGAAGGCTTATTGGCCCATACGAGGCATCTCCTATCTAAACACAAAGATTAATCCAGTGTAATTGGCAATTAATCCAGTGTAATTAATTCATATATATATATATATATATATATATATATATATATATATATATATATATATATATATATATATATATATATATATATATATATATATATATATATATATATATATATATATATATATATATATATATATATATATATATATATATATATATATATATATATATATATATATATATATATATGAAATGTCCTTTCAGTGCTAAAAGAACACCCCAGCCATACAACCTTTCCTCTCTTACATCTAAACCTATTTTTTGTTAACAATTGTTCCATAATTGCCAACCACAACGGCCTCACTTACAACCACTTCTAATTTCCTAACAAGCCGCTTGCCATTCTTTCTTCACTCCCCTTTCCTGGTTCCTTGCTCCTTCCCATTCGTTTCTTCATTTCCTCTTTCTTCCTTTCTCTCAGCTTCTCCTTATCCCCCTTCTCCCTCTCTACCTGCCTGGCGAGCACACATCTCTCCTTATCTCTGAGATAATGTTCAATAACTCCCTCAGCATCTCTGGAGACCTGTCCAGCGCCTTCCTTGCTCCCATGGTGAGATGCTCCCACGGTGTGCTGCTCCCATGGTGAGTTGCTCCCCTGGTGAGATGGTCCCATGGTAGAGATGCTCCCATGGTGTGATGCTCCCATGGTGTGATGCTCCCATGGTAGAGATGCTCCCATGGTAGAGATGCTCCCATGGTAGAGATGCTCCCATGGTAGAGATGCTCCCATGGTGAGATGCTCCCATGGTAGAGATGCTCCCATGGTGTGATGCTCCCATGGTAGAGATGCTCCCATGGTGTGATGCTCCCATGGTGAGATGCTCCCATGGTGTGATGCTCCCATGGTGAGATGCTCCCATGGTGAGATGCTCCCATGGTGAGATGCTTCCATGATGAGATGCTCCCATGGTGAGATGCTCCCATGGTGAGATGCTCCCATGGTGTGATGCTTCCATGGTGTGATGCTCCCATGGTGAGATGCTCCCATGGTGTGATGCTCCCATGGTGAGATGCTCCCATGGTGAGATGCTTCCATGGTGTGCTGCTCCCATGGTGAGTTGCTCCCATGGTGAGATGCTCCCATGGTGTGATGCTCCCATGGTGAGATGTTTCCAAAATAATGGCTAGTGTTATCATGACTAGTAAGGGCATGGGTGGTGTTATCATGACTGGTGAGGGCGTGGGTGGTGTTATCATGACTGGTGAGGGCGTGGGTGGTGTTATCATGACTGGTGAGGGCGTGGGTAGTGTTATCATGACTGGTGAGGGCGTGGGTAGTGTTATCATGACTGATGAGGGCGTGGGTAATGTTATCATGACTGGTGAGGGCGTGGGTGGTGTTATCATGACTGGTGAGGGCGTGGGTAGTGTTATCATGACTGGTGAGGGCGTGGGTGGTGTTATCATGACTGGTGAGGGCGTGTGTGGTGTTATCATGACTGGTGAGGGCGTGGGTGGTGTTATCATGACTGGTGAGGGCGTGGGTAGTGTTATCATGACTGGTGAGGGCGTGGGTAGTGTTATCATGACTAGTGAGGGCGTGGGTGGTGTTATCATGACTGGTGAGGGCGTGGGTAGTGTTATCATGACTGGTGACGGCGTGGGTGGTTTTTGAGCTTCCAAAATTGACATCACATCAATATTGGGAACCGTTGTTAATACATCAATTTTGGGCCGTAGGGGGAAGAGGGTAATTATACGTCAAAATGCGACTTACTATCTGAGAGGTGTGGTTGTGGTGTCAAGGTAGCCCGTGTCACCTCGTCTGAGCGTCGATCATCAACGAGTCAGTCAACTTGACAGACGTTGTTTCGTCAACTTGAAGTCTGATTCACGAAGCAGTTACGCAAGCACTTACAAACCTGGGGCCGGATTCAGGAAGGTACTTACGTAGGTTTTTCCTCTTAGCTAAGAGCGTTTTCCGTCTTAGCGCCTTCGTGGCGGCTACGTCCGTATTCAATTAACTACCCTAAGTGGAAAAACCTTCGTAAGTTCATTCCGGGATTTAAGTGTGGTTTCGACCACTCGTAGCTTTACGTAAACTGGATATAAGTCATTTTTTCTCTACTACATAACACTGGGATCGATTTATGATATTGGAACATGACCAAAATATTATAGCTGGTGAATCTAGTGAAGAGTAGTCCTTCGTGTTAGTTATATATGCATTCTCTGCTTGAAACTTGAAGTAAATATGTGTTTGATGATAGTAGAATAAGTTTTATAATAGCAAGATATTATACCAGTAGTTATTAAGTAAATAAACACTGGTGAACATGAAATATGAGAGAAGGTGATGAGCCCTGCCTGATGGGATCATTTACTACCACCAAATGCCCCTGTTCACCTAGTAGTAAGGGTGTACCTTAGCTATACATACCCATTTCTAATTTATTTAGTTTGGTTTTATTTTGAAATTAAATCTGGGTGAGACATAAAATAAAAATATGCTGCACAAATGATGTTAGGTAAGGAAAAGGGTAAAAATGTCAAAAAACTTTATTCATTGAATACTTAAAGCTATAATTATGACTATATAGATTATTAAAAAAGAGAGAGGGAAGTAGGGGTCCAAGACCTCTTCCTGTTATACAATTTGGGTGTGGAACAAGTAATTATCAAAAGAAGGCACCATGCCGGGAAGGCTATGTAGCAGTAAGGCAGTGAGGTGAGGCAGCTACTTATTTGAGAAATGCTTATTTTATTTACCTTATAAGCTGAGGCAACTTATTTTATTTGAGGAATACTCAGCTGATTCCTCTACATTTAGCATGGAACAAATTTGTGTCCAAGACCTCTTCCTGTTACTCAATTTGGCTGTGTGTAACCAAACTAGAAGTGCTCTACAAATCAAGGGACCCAGAATGTGGAATGACCTCCCGAATCATGTCAAAGGCTGTACCTCTCTCAACCAGTTTAAGAGTTAAACCAAGTACTGTACTGCCTAATTAACTCCATGTAACCTAACTTACCTCCTAAATGTCAACCCATGTCTTGCTATTTTTTAAATAACGCTGTTCACCAACATGTGCAATTGCTGATTTATGCTATGTTAACCCCCTTTTTGAATTTTTTATTCCTTCTTTCAACACAATTTATACCTAATCCCGATTACTATTAAGTTTTAGTCCGTGTTTTTTCCCCCCACACCTTGCCCGAAATGCTATGAGTATTAGTGGCTTTAGGTATTGTATGTACTAGCTCTGCCTATAAATCCAACATTATGTTTGTAAATCAACTGTATGTACTTTTCCTGAATAAAATGTATTTATTATTTTTTTTTTAATCAGTAAGTATTAAAAGAAGGCACCAAGCTGGGAAGGCTATGTAGCACCATTGTGTGAAACAATAAACCAATTTTTTTTAACAAATAATGCACCTGTATGGGAAAACAAATCCTGTCAGCTGTAAAAATATTGATGCAGTTATTTAAATGAAAAATATAATGAAAGAAATATTACTGGTTTATTTTTATCCTATCTTTTTGTACTGTACAGTATATCCAAGGAAGTGAAAAATTGAGACATAATGCACAATTTAATGAATGATTAGCATGGATTAGCAGTTAAAAAGAAATATGACTTGTATTACATATCAACATGAGATCTTAATGATCCATGGTCAACATGATTTAATAAGGATAATACAGTACTGTATTTGTAATAATACAAACTATATTTTAAAATCTTTATTACTGATTTTTTTTATTAAGAAGATTAGGTATACACAGCAATGTGCTGCTACCCTATTCTATATGGAATATAGAATAGATATTGTGTAGATAACAGTGTAGATAAAAAACTAGCTATAAGTTTATCTAATACTCCCATCTCACAAGATGGTTAGACATACTGTACATGGAATCAATTTAGAAAATACCAGCCTCAATACAAAAAACAAATCAACTCTGACTAAACAACTCTAAGCAATTTTCACAAGAGGTAAGCACTGAATCACGGAAACATTATATTATAATTACTCTTACCAGTTTCTACAAAACTCCTCTCAAACAATGTATTTTTAAACATGTTTAGGTATACACAGCAATGTGCTGCTTCCCTATTCTGTATAAAGGACCACACAGTGTAGATCAAAAACCAGCTACCAGCTCACCCAACATCCTCACCTCACAGGATGGCCAGTCATACATGGAATTAGGAGAGAACAAAATACTTAATGCTGATCTATTAGCCTCCACTGGCAAAATCTGGGTGCAGCACAAGAATATCTTCCAATATTCCTGAGTGTATGAAGTAATTACAGAGCTCAAAATACCTCATACCATTTGGTATGAAGTCACTGATAACAGGACAATCACAGATATAGTGTTGGAGAGTATGTTCTCTCAAGTAGGACTGAAAACAGATGTTTTTTTTCCACCAAGAGGGCTATAAACCCATGGAACCGCCTACCCGCTGAAGCCGTAAATGCCAAATTCCAGCTAAAAAATATCATTAAGACAATTGGCGGGCCCTTTAACAAGCCGCCGGCTTTCTGTCCTCTTCGAGGTCACTAGATAGTTAGTGGCCCTTGGGTAAATTCAGTAAATATATACAATAATTGTCAGCGCATCTTCCGAGCAACAAGGACAGCTACACAGTATCTCTTAGAATTACGTAGATAAACAACAAATGTAACATATTTGTTTACTACAATGTCGATGCTGGCTGTAGAAGTTGAAAAAACATTGTTTTACTTCGAAATATATTAATTTTATAAGAAAATTCGACGTAAATAGGCGGCAGTAGAGCTCCGATAAGCCAGCGCTAAATCTTCAATATGAAGAATGTTGCTGCTCTCTGATTGGCCAAACGAAACACAGTAGTGACCTCTATCGGCACGCAGGTGAACCAACAATTTTCTTCCTAAGTATACCTTATTGAATCGCACCTAAGCATCTTCTTAGGGCGCACTTAGGAACCTTCGTAGCAAACCCACTTACGAAGAAATACACAGAGCTTCCTGAATCTAGGTCCTGTACATCTTTTCTCAATCTTTGGCGGCTTTGCTTACAATTATTAAACAGTTAATGAGCTCCGAAAACCAGGAGGCTGTTTATAACAAAAACAACAGTTGATTGGAAAGGTTTCATGCTTGTAAACTGTTTAATAAATGTTACCAAAGCCGTCAAATATTGCAGAAAGATGTACACGTTCGTAAGTACTTGCGTAACTGCTTCGTGAATCTGGCCCCAGCGGGACCATGCTGGGTACTCCCCACCACAAGCTGAGGAGTCATCAATACCTTGGAGGTCAAGGAGAGAGCGCGGGCGCTCATTTCCCGAGCTGGGGAGGAAGTGAGCGCCACAGGCGGTGATTGGCTGCAAGTCCTGCCTACATTACATCATCGATTTTCTCGATGATTAGTTGATTTTTCGCTACCTGACCAATCCCATCGGTGGCTATAATGTCAGCGATTAGTAGCGGCTTACTCACGCGAGGCGTCGATGGAAGGGGCTTCACACTACTCTTGACAGCCAATTTGTGTCGTCTTGAAGGTATATAATATGTTGCAGGGGGGGGGGGGTGGAAGATGATCAGTTCCAACCCTTGACTAAATCAAATTTGCCTCGACAAGCGCTTGCAGGAGTGGTTGGGCCTTGTCTGGCGGGAGCAGAACCACGCCACACAACCTGCTTGTCTTCTACTGCCTGTTGTGCACAATGGTGCTTGCTCTGAGGTGCTGCTCAACACCTGTAGCTGGGGTGCTGCGGGTGTTGGCTGGGGAGCTGCGGGTGTTGGCTGGGGAGCTGCGGGTGTTGGCTGGGGAGCTGCGGGTGTTGGCTGGGGAGCTGCGGGTGTTGGCTGGGCAGCTGCGGGTGTTGGCTGGATGTGCTACTGTCACACACGGTATTCTTAATGTTAATCTCTATGTTATTGGATTAACACAACTCGCATCCTAGTAACGAAGAAATTTAACCAAAGAAGCTGAAATAATCTAACCTAACCCAACCTTACCTAACTTAACTTAACCTAACCTAACTTAATCTAACCTAACCTAACTTAACCTAACCTAACCTAACCTAACCAAACCTAACCTAACCTAACCTAACCTAACCAAACCTAACCTAACCTAACCTAACCTAACCAAACCTAACCTAACCTAACCTAACCTAACCTAACCAAACCTAACCTAACCTAACCTAACTTAACCTAACCTAACCTAATCTAACCTAACCTAACCTAACTTAACTTAAACTTAACCTAACCTAACATAACCTAACCTAACTTAATCTATCCTAACCAAACCTAACCTAACCTAACCAGACCTAACTTAACCTAACCTAACATAACCTAAGTTAACTTAAACTTAACCTAACCTAACATAACCAAACCTAACTTAAACTTAACCTAACCTAACCTAACCTAACCTAACTTAACCTAACTTAACCTAACCTAACCTAACTTAACTTAAACTTAATCTAACCTAACTTAAACCTAACCTAACCTAACCTAATCTAACCTAACCTAACCTAACTTAACCTAACCTAACCTAACCTTTACCTAACCTAACCTTTACCTAACCTAACCAAACCTAACTTAACCTAACCTAACCTAACCTAACCTAACCTTTACCTAACCTAACCAAACCTAACTTAACCTAACCTAACCTAACCTAACCTAACTTAACCTAACCTAACTTAATCTAACCTAACATAACCTAACCTAACTAAACCTAATTTAACCTAACCTAACCTAACCTAACCTAATCTAACCTAATCTAACCTAACGTAACCTAACCAAACTTAACCTAACCTAACGTAACCTAACCTAACCTAATCTAACCTAACCTAACATAACCTAACCTAACCTAATCTCTAACCTAACCTAACCTAACATAACCTAACCTAACCAAACCTAACGTAACCTAACCTAACCTAATCTAACCTAACCTAACGTAACCTAACCTAACCTAATCTAACCTAACCTAACCTAACATAACCTAACCTAACCAAACCTAACGTAATCTAACCTATGGAAGGAATCATAGACCAATTACAAGGTTCCCAGTCGTAAAATAGTGTATAAATATGTTATACTGACAAAGGCAATGTTTAAATATGGTTTTTAAATCTTTTTTCTTCGAATTTCGGAAAATTAATTGGACAAAACGGGAATCTTGGTATAACACTATTCATTGTGGACAATTCCCAGTGTTTTATAAATAATGTTATATAGAATATAGAATATAGCAAACACACCAGAGTTAAAGATACGTGGTCAGCCAGGGCTGCCAACGTGGTCAGCCAGGGCTGCCAACGTGGTCAGCCAGGGCTGCCAACGTGGTCAGCCAGGGCTGCCAACGTGGTCAGCCAGGGCTGCCAACGTGGTCAGCCAGGGCTGCCAACGTGGTCAGCCAGGGCTGCCAACGTGGTCAGCCAGGGCTGCCAACGTGGTCAGCCAGTGCTGCCAACGGAGGAGGTTGTAACTGCAGTATGAATTGTTGATTGTTGCAGAACATGAGGTCATATATGATTTATAGGCGCACAGCCCCTTACACATCCGGCTACTTCATAGTGAGGGGACACACCCCACACATCCGGCCACTTGATAGTGAGGGGACACACCCCACACATCTGAACACTTGATAGTGAGGGGACACACCCTACACATCCGGCCACTTCATAGTGAGGGGACACACCCCCACACATCTGGCCACTTCATAGTGAGGGGACACACCCCACACATCCGGCCACTTGATAGTGAGGGGACACACCCCACACATCTGGACACTTGATAGTGAGGGGACACACCACACACATCCGGCCACTTCATAGTGAGGGGACACACCCCCACACATCTGGCCACTTCATAGTGAGGGGACAAACCCCACACATCCGGCCACTTGATAGTGAGGGGACACACCCCACACATCCGGCCACTTTAGAGTGAGGGGGACACACCCCACACATCTGGCTACATGATAGTGAGGGGACACACCCCCACACATCTGGCCACTTGATAGTGAGAGGGGACACACCCCACACATCCGGCCACTTGATAGTGAGGGGTCACACCCACACATCCGGCCACTTGATAGTGAGGGGACACACCCCACACATCCGGCTACTTCATAGTGAGGGGACACACCCCACACATCCGGCCACTTGATAGTGAGCGAACACACCCTACACATCCGGCCACTTTATAGTGAGGGGGACACACCCCACACATCTGGCTACATGATAGTGAGGGGACACACCCCCACACATCTGGCCACTTGATAGTGAGAGGGGACACACCCCATACATCCGGCCAATTGATAGTGAGGGGACACACCCACACATCCGGCCACTTGATAGTGAGGGGGACACACCCCACACATCTGGCTACATGATAGTGAGGGGACACACCCCACACATCCGGCCACTTGATAGTGAGGGGACACACCCCACACATCCGGCCACTTGATAGTGAGGGGACACACCCCACACATCCGGCCACTTGATAGTGAGGGGACACACCCACACATCCGGCCACTTCATAGTGAGAGGACACACCCCACACATCCGGCCACTTGATAGTGAGAGGGGACACACCCCACACATCCGGCCACTTGATAGTGAGGGGACACACCCACACATCCGGCCACTTGATAGTGAGGGGACACACCCCACACATCCGGCCACTTGATAGTGAGGGGACACACCCACACATCCGGCCACTTGATAGTGAGGGGACACACGCACATCCGGCCACTTGATAGTGAGGGGACACACCTCACACATCCGGCCACTTCATAGCGAGGGGACACACCCCACACATTCGGCCACTTGATAGTGAGGGGACACACCCACACATCCGGCCACTTCATAGTGAGGGGACACACCCCACACATCCGGCCACTTGATAGTGAGGGGACACACCCACACATCCGGCCACTTGATAGTGAGGGGACACACCCACACATCCGGCCACTTGATAGTGAGGGGACACACCCCACACATCCGGACACTTGATAGTGAGGGGACACACCCCACACATCCGGCCACTTCATAGTGAGGGGACACACCCCCACACATCTGGCCACTTCATAGTGAGGGGACAAACCCCACACATCCGGCCACTTGATAGTGAGGGGACACTCCCCACACATCCGGCTACTTCATAGTGAGGGGACACACCCCACACATCCGGCCACTTTATAGTGAGGGGGACACACCCCACACATCTGGCTACATGATAGTGAGGGGACACACCCCACACATCCGGCCACTTGATAGTGAGGGGACACACCCACACATCCGGCCACTTGATAGTGAGGGGACACACCCCACACATCCGGCCACTTCATAGTGAGGGGACACACCCCACACATCCGGCCACTTGATAGTGAGGGGAAACACCCACACATCCGGCCACTTCATAGTGAGGGGACACACCCCACACATCCGGCCACTTCAAAGTGAGGGGACACACCCCCACACATCTGGCCACTTGATAGTGAGAGGGGACACACCCACACATCCGGCCACTTGATAGTGAGGGGACACACCCATACATCCGGCCACTTGATAGTGAGGGGACACACCCTGTGGGAAATTTCTACCCACCATATCTAATAATCATCTAAGAAATGTATAAATTCTATATCATATCTAAATCATATCAAAATCATATCTAAATCGTATCAAAATCATATTAGAATCATTAAAGATTCATTTTATAGCTTGATCCTGGATGACAATGGCACCATGAACACGTACGCAACAGGGGCCCTTTTGATGCGTACATGACTTTGTACATGATCTCTCAAGGATCCAGAAGCCTCTAGAAGGATTTCTTAATTAAAAAACTATTGGAACATTTATTCGCTTCCGGTAGAGATTAAAAATCGAATCCTTAATAAGATTCAGTGGTACTTTCAAATACTACTTATAATCTTTAAATCTTATATCTAATTATATTATAATCACATCTTATTTCAATCATAAGTCTAGACTGTAAAAATAATCAATCAATATTCATTGAAAGCTACCTCTCAAGGGAGAGGGAGGAGGATCTCGGGGGCGAGAAGCGCCCACGATGATGCCTCGAGGCACTGCGCGTTTGTTTACAACTGAGTGAACAAGTGACTGATCCTTAGCGAACATTACCAGCTCAAGGACACCTTATCTAATATTTTCATCGCCAGTGAATACTCTCTAGAACTGAGGGAGTACCTGGACAATATCTACAAGGAAAATCCTAGAACATTTATATAAAATAAGAGTGTTTAGTGGAGATCACAGTGACGCGGTTTCCACCACCTTCATTCCTATTCTTTATCTCAAATCATTCTTCTGCAACTGCAGGGATAATCACGTAGCAACGCTACCAGATCATCATACAGCAACGCTGTGGCAAAATATCGTGCCTAAACTCAACAAGAGAGAGTTAATCTGTCTGGCACCTT